GCAGAGGCCTGAAAATTTCTTGTGTGACCATCCCTGCTTGTCCTTGCACTTACTGGAAGAAGAAAGACACATAGAGCAGAGCTGGTTGCCCCAATCATCCCAGCTGAGGCCATTCTAGATCATTCCATAGCCAGGTGACCCCACGTATATGAGCAAGTAAGCCAAGAACAACAGAACTTCAGCTGATCCAAAGGTGAAACAGTCCAGCCCAGCCTAACTGGGATAAACCAATCCACAGACTCACACACTTAACGTTTACTATTATAGGTCACTAAGGTTTTGTGGGTGGTGGTTACTCAGCATTATTATGGCAGCAATTAACTGACACATCCACACTGCTTGTGAAGTGCTGAGAAATATTTTTCAAATGGTTATGGAACTGACATTCTCTTAGGGGAGCACAAAAGCAAGGGATCTAGAGCTTGACACTTACTAACTGTTCTGCCACTTAGTACTGGTATGACTTTCAGCAAGTTGCATTAGCTGCTCCTGCCTCCATATCCTAACAGTAAAATGGAGAAAATACTAGTGTACTATGTAACATTAGTATATTATGATTGATTGAGATTAAATAATCCATGTAAAAAATTTACAATTGAGTCTGGCACATAATGAGCTACATAAAGGTTAGATTATAAACGCTGAACTCAGGGTGCCTACGTGGGGTTCAGTTAGTTAAGCGGCTGACTCTTGATCTCAGCTCAGGTCATGATCTCACGATTCGTGGGATCAAATCCCACGTCAGACTTCATGCTGACAGCGCAGAGCCTGCTTGGGATTCTTTCCCTCTCTCTCTGCTCCTCCCCTGCTTACTTCCCCCCAAAATAAATAGATAAACTTAAAAAAAAAAAAAAAAGGCTGAGGGGCACCTGGGTGGCTCAGTCGGTTAAGTGTATCCAACTGACGATTTTAGCTCAGGTCATGAGCCCATGGTTTGTGGGATCAAGCCCCATTCAGGCAGCATGCTGACAGTGAGGAGCCTGCTTGTGCTCTTGCTCTCTCTCTCAAAATAAATAAATAAACTTAAAAAAAAAAAAAAGGCTGAAGTTGGCAAAGATCATGACTGAACGAACAGGAGAACCCCACCTCTACACAGATGTGGGCTGAGGAATTTTTGGCAGGCAGGGCCCAAGATTCTGTTTTGATGTAAAAATAGGACAAAGTTTTAAAATTCTACTCCATTAACTTATTCTAGGTCAAAATTATTTTGATTACGTTTTAAGAGCCAAAGTCAACTTAAATACCCATCTTAGCTCTATGAAAATCTCATTAAAGTACCTTAAGAACAGGGGAGACGAGCAATGATTGCCTAATGGGTACAACAGGGTTTCGTTTTGGCGTTATGACAATGGTTCTGGAATTAGATAGTGTTAATGGTCATATAACATTGTGAGTATACTGAAAAACACTGAATTACATACTTTGTAATGAATAAAATGATGAATTTTATCTTAATAAATTAAAAAGAACATAAACCCGTGAGCAATACTGCAGTCAGTTATAATCTGCCAACTGCAAGTTAGAGGTAAAACCAACAGGAGATTCTGGCTTTAGAACAGGTATTTTCCTCCGACATAACAGATAACTGGCCTAAATAACTATTAAGGCCATCCAAGCTCATGATAATAAAACCCCATCAGCTATATACAATAGCTAGCTCAGATTTTTATTGATGCTTTTTATATGCCAAGCACTCTTTAACTGCTTTGTAAATAATTTTTCTGAGTAGGGGCATGAGCGGCATTTTGGGTGGGACAACTCTTCCTTCTAACTATATTTAGTATCTCTGGACAACCCACCCTCGTCCAACCACCCCTGTGAGTCCTCAAAAACCTACGAAGTACAGATTGTATTACTAATGAGGAAGCTGAGGGTCAAAGAGGTTAAGTAAACTAAGGTAACAGAGGTATCAGATAGTAGTGCTGGAGTTCAACCTAGGCAGCCTTACTGATGCCTGAGCTCGGAAACGTGATTTGCTATCGCTTGTCTAGAGTGCAAAGGGTGGTTGTACCTAATATGTGGTATCAACCAACTTTCAAGTAAAAGTATTAGCTGATGACCTCAGTGATCTAGAGAGTCCAAGACCATGGGAAAGATCAATAAAAGCCACACATTTCTTTTCATGTTTATAAAAGATTTCTCCACAAGCGAATTATGAACACAATCATGGTTAATAAAGAAATGGCCACAGCTACATCTCATCGGCTCCTGTATAGACAACAACCTAAAAACTCAGATGAGCAATTTATTCTGACAGGACACGGGCCTACGTTTTACATGGGAAATCTAACAACCTAACAGGCCTAAAACTGGGGGACTAAATAATGGCTCTTTTAAAAAACAGACCGACTACACTCTTAGGACCCCCCCCACTTGAAAGCAGACCTGAGCCTCAGTGAAGTTAAAAAAGCACATTAAAAGCCCAGTCCCAGTCAGAACTGCGGCTCCCTAGCAGCCCTCCACCCGAGGTGACTGAGTCACTGTGAATTTCTTGGTCAAGTATAGAAAGAAAGGAAGATGCCTTGAGAAACTGCACAAAGACAGGACCCAGTCAGACCAGCAGTTTGTAAAGCTGGACAAGCCTCTGCCAGAGAGAAGCAAAGCTCGCTCACCGGAAGCCCAAGTGGCAGAGTCTGAAAATCTGCTCTCATCACTTAATCAGGTGGCCAAAAGCATTCTCATATGGATTTAGTAAAACTGAATTTTACTGAGGTAATAGAAAGTTTATAAAAATATTTTATTTTGTTAAGCCCCCAGACAGCTTACTCAAATTAGTGTTCTATGAGTGACTACTGTGCAGGGTTTTATTTTTGCTCCTTTTCTCCTCTCCCAATCAGAAGATCTCATTCAACCAGGCAACTGACCAGAAAGTCTGGTTTCTTCAATTGCTCTCACCCTTCAAATCTCCCCTGTCTCATCCCAAGTGAAGACAAGTTATAACAGGAACGTGGTAACCATTACAACAGCAGTATTTTAACAGCTACCTTTACAAACTGACCCTTTTGTTCTGGATGTACTTAAATACCAGTAATTCCCTGATTAAAATCCCACTAAGCTAATTTTCTTCTATTTAATATGCTACCACAGTTACTGATCCAGACTTCTGGAACAAATTCTTAACTTTTTTGTGTTTAATTGAAGTATACTTGACATACCATGTTGAATTTGTTTCAGGTGTGTAAGACAGTGAATTGACAATTCTAAAAATTAGACAATGCTTACCACGGTAAGTGTAAATCCTTCCTTTCTTAAACTGCCTAACATCCACTTGTTATGCCTGTACAGAAGACCTCGTTTTAAAAAGAAACACGCGAAGATTCCTTTACATCTATAATTCATTTTCCCACCAATTCAGTGTGCCTTGCCACTATTTAATTCCAATAGCCAGTTACCTGTAACTATAATCCATCTTAGCTGATGGAATTCAAGGTCAATTCAAGATGGTCTAGGTGATTTTGCAGATCAAATATGCCTAAGCTTCATGTGTCAGTCTTACATTTCCTTCAGAGTAAGATGATGACAATAGTAGTAGTAATAATAGTGGCAGAGGCAATACTTACAGAGCCCGTACTACACAATACACAGCTGTAAGTACTTTACAAGTATTAATCTACCCCCGTGAAATGGGAGCTATTGTCACCCAAAATTTCCAGATACGAAACTAAAGCACAAAGAAGTTAAGTAACTTGCCCAAGATGAGAACTGGTACGGAATCAAGCTTGAATTTGAACCCAGATGGTGGGACCCCAAGGCTCACACCATGAATCACTAATGCTACACTGCCTCTCAATATAAACAAGGATTAACTTAGAACTTAGTCACCAGAAAAATTAAAACTAGAACTACCCTACAACCCAGCAATTACACTACAGGTATTTATCCAACGGATACAGGTGTGCTGTTTCAAAGGGACACATGCACCCTAGTGTTTATAGCAGCACTATTAACAACAGCCAAAGTATGGAAAAAGCCCAAATGTCCATCGATGGATGGAAGGATGAAGATGTGAGATATGTGTGTGTGTGTATATATATATATATACTTATATATATACTTGATATACTTATATATATACTTATAAATACTTATATATACTTATAGATATACTTATATATATACTTATATATATACTTGACAATCAAAAAGAATGCAATCTTGCCATTTGCGACTAAGTGGATGGAACTAGAGGGTATTATGCTAAGTGAAATTAGTCAGAGAAAGGCAAATATCATAGGACTTCGCTGATATGAAGACTTTAAGAGACAAAACAGATGAACCTAAGGGAAGTGAAGCAAAAATAATATAAAAATAGGGAGGGGAACAAAACATAAGAGACTCTTAAACATGGAGAACAAACAGAGGGTTACTGGAGGGGTTGTGGGAAGGCTAAATGGGTAAAGGGCTTTAAGGAATCTACTCCTGAAATCATTGTTGCACCATATGCTAACTTGGATGTAAATTAAAAAACAAACAAAAATCTCAGTCACCAGAAAACAGATTTATTTTTTAAAAAAAAAATTTTTTTTTTCAACGTTTATTTATTTTTGGGACAGAGAGAGACAGAGCATGAATGGGGGAGGGGTAGAGAGGGAGACATAGAATCGGAAACAGGCTCCAGGCTCTGAGCCATCAGCCCAGAGCCTGACGCGGGGCTCGAACTCGCAGACCGCGAGATCGTGACCTGGCTGAAGCCGGACGCTTAACCGACTGCGCCACCCAGGCGCCCCCAGAAAACAGATTTATTAAACAAGCAACTGAGTATAAATAAACGAAAACCCAGATTCACAGCCCTTTTCTTATAAGGCAACATACAGCAGAGGTTCTAAAACACTGCAAAAACACTGCTACTTTAATGTCATACAGAAATTTAAAAAAGCATTATTAAGAAAAAATCCGTTGTTCAGCCAACAATGCTGTTGACTCAGCTAACTGAGGCTACTAAAGTACAGACCTCCTGATCATGCCACATGCTACTAAAGAGAAGTTTCGGACAGAATTACCTTGTTTTCTTCTGAGTTCCTTTTCAACTTTTCTTCCATGTCCTTGGTCTCTTCCGAGACCTTGAGTTTAATCTGCTCATAATTTTCACATGCTTCCTTAAGCTGCTCTTGTAAAACCTGGTATTCCTTCTCAATCTGTGAAAGATCTCCCTAAAAGTTACAAAATTATCTGTTAAAATAGTTTAAAATACACTTTTCTCATCTTGTTCCAAACAGTCTCTTAAAATAAACAGAAGAGAAAAAGAGGCAGATGAAAATTTACAAGGGAAATGTCATGATAATTCAAGAATTAAAACCTCCTAAACAGTGTTTAGCAAAGCCAACTCTTTTTAAAGTACAATTATTCATATTACTGTAACTCATAATGAAACATTTCAATCTGTACTATAATTAGTTCTGAATATTTGTCTTAAAAGGGTTCAGTATTACTAAATCAATAGTGTGATGTGAATATCATTCTCCATGATTAACATCAAGAACTACTTATTAGGTTTAAAAAGCTGTATGTACATATGCATTTTAGATATGAACAAAACATATTAACTTTGACCCTACTTTTAAGTGTTTCAAATGGACAGTTGTAAAAATGACAAGTTAAAATATTATCAATGGTTTCCAGTTATGTAACTATCTCTTGGACCAGCTTAAAAAGCAAAAGCAAAAACAGAAGCATATTGCAATGTGAAATATTGTCCAACAAAAAATGTCATTTATGTGTTTTTAAAAACCTTTCATTATGAAAAAAATAAATAAAAATAAAAACCTTTCATTCTGAAGGGAGACTGGGCGGCTTAGTCGGTTAAATGTTGGATTTCAGCTCAGGTCATGATCTGGCAGTCTGTGAGTTTGAGCTCTGGACTGGGCTCTGTGTCTCAGCCTGGAGCCTGCTTTGGATTCTGTCTCCCTTTCTCTCTCTGTCCCGCCCCCACTCGTGCTCTTTGTTTCATTCTCTCCCAAAAATAAACAAACATCTAAAAAAATAAAAAAAACCTTTCATTCTGCTAGGACAGTCAGCAATCACACCTGTGTGTCTGAAAGGCGTCTGGGTGGGCTGGCAAATCCGCCCAGTTGCGGCTGACTGCTCTCCCCAGGGCCTTAGTGGCCAAGCCTGGAAATCTATCCCAGGGGCACAAACCTAGGTCTATCTTCCCCCACCTCCTGCACCTCAGCATCTTCCAAGTTTACAAAAGCAGAGAATCAAGGTTTTGAAATTCAGTGATTTATCAGTTAGAGAACTATGAGCTGTGACCAGAGTGACCACACATGTCAGTCTGTTTTGAGTGTCCCAATTTTTATTTGTCCAGACTAAAAGTTTGGCAGTATGAATAGAGAGTCCACGTTTAAATAATAAATTAAATGGTCAACCCCACTACGACCCAGGAGAAAGACTTTATGGTTTTAGACCTTAGTTACCTCTATGTTCATTCTCAATTCAGCAAAAGAATCACAATGAATTAACAACTTATTATTATGTATCAATTTATACGCCCAAGTCACCAAAGGAACAAGAAATTATAGCCATCTCTATGTTATCACATACAAACTTCACCACAATTCTGTAAGAAACATTATTCACACCTTTTAGAGATCAGAAAACCAAAGTTGAGAGAAATTAGGCAACTTCTTAAAGCCCCTGAGGAAAAGCAACAGTGCTGGGGATTAACTGCAAGTCTCACTGGTGGAGAAGCCAACACTCAGCCATACTAATGATAAAGTCCTGAAACTAACTGCTAATTTAACAAGTGTTTTTGAATTCTCCCAATACTGATGAAAAAATTTGAGGGTGAAGAGCATACCTGGTTTAGAACTCAGTATGCTATAAGAACTCAACACCAGATATTCTATACGCAAAAATGTTCACTATAGCACTGTCCGTATGCCTGAAAAGCTGACACAATCTAAATGTTCAACAGTAAGAAACTAATCAAATAAACTATCATATTCATACAATAGAATACCAAGTCTGCGTTAAAAATGATGGTAAAAATCTATATTTACTGACATGGAAAAAATCCATAACATATAAATACCGAAAATTTTAAACACAACATACAAGCTACAATCCTATCTTTTAAAAAGAATTGCTATCGCTTCTTGGCCTTTTGGCTAAGATCAAGTGTAAAAAGAATTGCTTACTTAAATGTAAATGTTAAAATAAGGCCTAAGGGCTGCACATCAAAATGTAAATAAGGGAGAAGGCAACATAGATGACTTTTAATTTCTCCTCCATAATTTTCAGTATTGTTCATTAAAAAAATTAAGAGTTCTACATTATTTTTTTTAAATGTTATTTTTGAGACAGAGAGAGAGAGAGAGAGAGAGAGAGAGAGAGAGAGGAGTGAGTGTGTGTGTGTGTGTGTGTGTGTGTGTGTGAGTGAGTGTGGGGGGAGGGGCAGAGAGAGAGGGAGACACAGAATCCAAAGCAGGCCCCAGGCTCTGAGCTGTCATCAGACGCTTAACTGACTGAGCCACCCAGGCACCCCATTACATTACTTTTTTAATTGGCCAAAACTATAAAGCTATTTGTACCAAGCATAGCAACACAATCTAACCTTACTTCTTCCTACTTAATTATCTATCTGGTCTTGTAAATCATTCCATATCAGTAATAATAAAACTGCTGGACTATAATTCACTTAATGAGTCTAATACTGATGGATATTTAGGTTGTATTCAATTTTTTGCTGACACTAACGCAGATGAAACAAATATGCAAATACCCTTGTTCACTGGTCTCTATACATATATAGGAGTGCAGGTAAATTCCCAATTGCCATCCCCAGAAATTTACATTTTTACATTCTTTCAACAGTGCATAAATGACTTTCTTATTTCAGGCGGAGCTGGGCATCTTTTTATATGTTTAAAAAATCATCCTTATTTTATTGTGGATTGTCTATTCACATCCATTCCCATTTTTGCATTATTAATCTTTCCCTGATTAATTTACAGAAACTGTGTACGTTAAACAAGGCAATTAGTTCTCTATCTGTCCCTATACCGCAAATAACTTTCCTAGTTTGTCATTAGTGTTTTGACATCATGTGTCTATTTGTCCATATACAAATACATGCTATGCATATGTACACACAGATTATATATGTGTATATATAAACAGATACTCTTTGTTACACTGTTTATTAATCTCATGAAAAAAAATTCCCTTTTTTTCTAGGTAAATTGTGGATCTGCTTTTTAATATTGAAATCTTTGATCTGTCTGGAATTTACTTTGGTATATGGAAATAAGGTGGGGACCCAAATTAATTTCTTCTAGACAGGCGACCCGTCTCCTAATACCACATATTTAATAATTCTCCTAATTAACAATTCTCCTAATACCACATATTTAATAAACTACTTTCTGCTCACTAATACCATTTTTATTTATTATACCTTAAATTTCTATTTTCTTTTGTTCTATTGTCTCTTATTTTAACGGCCTATTTATGTGCTAAAATAGATTATGTGCTAAACTAGAATCAATTTGTCCAGTTTCAGATAAACCCTGTGCAGGAGCCAGCCACCAAGGTGGCCCTCAAGATCCTCACCTCTTGGTATTTATACCCTTGTACAGTCCTCCCCTACAATGTATCAGGGTTTTTGGGTTGGTCTGTGTGACTAAGAGAATACATAAGAAGTGATAAAAAGTGGCTTTCTAAAGTAGGTCATGAATGCTATTGCTACTTCTACCTTGGATCAACCACTCTGGGGAAAGCCAGGCCCCATGAGAACATGAGGACACTCAAGTGGTCCTACATGGAGGTCCACAGGCAAGGAACTGAAGCCCCCACCAATAGTCAGCAGCGACTTGTTAGCTGTGTGAGTGAGCCATCTTGGAAACAGAACCTCCAACCCCAGTTACTCCTTGCAGATGGCCAGATGAGCCCTGGTCTATATCTTGGCTGCAAGTCCTCAGCAATCTCCAGAACCATCAGCTGAACCGCTCAATTGCTGACTCAGAAGCTGTGAGATAATAAATGTTTATTGTTGTTTTAAGGCACTAGGTTTGTTTTTTTTTTTTATTTTTTTTAAACGTTTTATTTATTTTTGAGACAGAGAGAGACAGAGCATGAACGGGGGAGGGACAGAGAGAGAGGGAGACACAGAATCGGAAGCAGGCTCCAGGCTCTGAGCCATCAGCCCAGAGCCCGACGCGGGGCTCAAACTCACGGACCGCGAGATCGTGACCTGAGCTGAAGTTGGACGCTTAACTGACTGAGCCACCCAGGCGCCCCAATTAAAGCACTAGGTTTTAAGGTAATCTGTTATGTAGCAACAGGTAACTAATACATGTTGTTCATGATTGTACTGGAACTGTGTTAAAAGCTTTAGGGACAACCAGTCTCTTCACAATAATGGACCTTCCTATTCAATACTTTTCATTTACGTAAGTCTTTTGTGCATTTCTCAGTACATTTTAAAGTTTTCTTTCATAGATTTAACTATTTTATCTTTTGGTTACTATTAAAAATGGAATTTTATCTTCTAGTATACTTTGCAACAGATTGTTGTTTATATTTGGAAAAGTATTCTATCCAATCACCTTTTTGAATTCTCTTAAGAGTTTGGTATTGCATTTTCACTTGATTATTTTTTAATCTTCCAGATACACAATGTTAGCCTCCGTAAGAAATAATATTACACCTCCTCTTTTACAATCTTACTTCTCTTAATTTTGTCAGTTGCTATCTCCAGGATAATAATACTAATGGTCATGTTTCACCTAAAAGTGAGATGAAGGCTTTGGCTTGAGAAAAAGATATTAGCATGTGGAGAAGTATTCATCTTTCGCCATATTATTATGAGTTTTAGACGAGAGGGGGAATTGAATTTTATCTAATACCTTTCAGGAACTATGGAGTTGGCCAAATAACTTTTCTTAAGATACATCAACACAATATATTACATTAATAGCTTTTCTAACTGAATCATTCTTATAATGGTGAAGGTTTTTATTATAAAACTTTCTGTATCATTCACATGAATAAGCTCTTATATATAAATTAATAGAGGCTCATTATACCAGTTAAAACAATAAAGCCATTATACTTTGAAATAAATAAGCTAGGGAAAAAACACTTTTGTTTCTGCCTCTTTCCCAAATTCAATAAAAACAATTTTTTTTGTCATGTTCTAAAGCTTATTGCATGGTAACATTTTATATGGAATTAGCAGACTCCAAAATAGTTCTAGTTCATTGCCATCTAGTTATAATAATGAAAACTAAAAAAAAAACCTTTAAATAGTCTAATACAATTCTGACTCACCTGTTGTGCCTCAAAAGGATCATATGGCTCAGTATTGACCTCTTGATGTGTTATATTCCAAGACACCTTTGGGGAAAAAACAAACAATTTCATTAATCTCAATTCCTGTGGTACAATAAATCCATTATGTAATGACATTTTAAGACATGCTCACAATTTTTTCGAGGTGTGTTTTATTTATTTTTCTCCAATTTCAATAACTCACACTTTCTACAAATTCTTGTATTAGAGAAGAGCTATCATGTAGAATTGGTAAAAATGAAAATGATTTTGGTTTATTACTCTAACATGTGCTTTCAGAGCTTTTTAGAAAACAGAAAACATAACAAGGAGGGGGATAATCCAACAAGGGTCTAATGAATTCACACCCGACAAAGTGAACTACAGAACATAAACTTATTCTCATGCTTGTTAGTAACTTTTATTCACATCTCTTTTGTTTCTCTCCACCTGGCTGTCTTTTTAGAGAAACTGGTTTTCGTAAAAGAAACTGGTCACATATAGCCCAGACTCTGTTTTTTGGGGCCACCTGTGCAAAAAGCGTATTTCCTTTCATTCTCCATACAGTAAGTTTGTGGGGCCAGCACCCCACGTTGTGAGGTTTCCTGGTCTAGCTCTAACTGGGTAGGTAGGCTGGTGTGTCAGGGCTTCAATACCAGGATGTGCAAGTGCTACAGAAGTAACTACATCATCCTCAATGGTGCCATTATTAATCAGTAACGTGATGGCTCCATCTGCTGATTCCTCTATCTCATTTCTCAACTGGTACAAAACTTGGTTAGGGAAGAAGGGTATTATTTACTAGACCCAAAAATTCTTTCTGAATTACCGATCATGCCCTACAAAAGGGTTCATATTTTTAAAACATTTCCAGGCAAAAGCTTTCATAACCATTATAAAGTCAATAATTTAAAAGAATTTTAGTAAATGGCAAAGAAAGATGAAAAGGAAAATTTAACTTCAGAATTGAGATTACTTTTTTCTATTTAGGTCTTACCTGTATAGCAGCCATTTGTGTATGTGGAATATTTGTTACTTCGTCGGTACTTTCTAGATTTACTTCCCACTTGTTGGCAGAATTTCCACAGTGACCTTCATGGCTGTTAGACCCACTGAGGGCTGTACCGTCACCATTCATGCTGCACTGTGTCTTTACTGATACTTCCAAAGATTCCTGAAGGATCTGTGTTTTAGGAGCAATCTCGTTACCAGGAGGAGTATTCTCAGCATTCAAATGAGGACCCTCAAAATATACAGCAGCACTTTCATCTGGTCTGTCACTGGCTACAAAGGATGGCGCCACTGGTACTGATCTTTGCAGCTGATATTCAGAAGGAACATTGGCTAGAGGTGTATAAATGTTAGTGTACTGGGACAAACTGGGTAACACGTTCATATATGTTGGTGGTGTCTGGGTAATGTCAAATCCCCGAAAGGGGAGGTATGTACAGTATCCTGTGACCAAATGGGGTTGAGACCAGTAGGTTGGTTTCACATCCTCAGAGGCTGGTTTGGGAGAATTACAGGATACTTGCTTGTGACCGGCATCCTCAGACACTGATGTGGGAGAATCAAAAGAGACCTCCTTGGGCTTCTCATCCTCAGAAACTGATCTAGAAGAATTATCAGACACTGGTTTCGGGTTCACAGCTTCACAGGTTGGTTGGGGAGAATTAGCAGATACAGGTTTGGGCTTCACGTCCTCAGAAGCTGGTGCTGAAGATAACTCAGACACTGGTTTGGACTTTACATCTGGTTTAAAATCCCTTGCGGTTGGATTCAGTGGTAGTTTAACTCGTAAATACTCCCCTGTTTTTGAAATTTCTTCCACTTTTGTCTTAATGTTTTTCTTCTTTCTCTTTTTCTTAAGCCGTAATGCAACTTTCTTCAATGCAATACAGTTGTCAATCACAACAAAACGAGGACATCCCAAGAGAAAAGATTTCAAACCTCCGGCTTTTTCTAGTATTTGCCGAGTTTCTTCTGGGAAGAATTCATATTCTTCAGAGAACATTTTATTATTCATGTCCAAGGGACCATGCTCTTCCAACAACTGAGAGAAATAACTTGGAAAAAATTTATGTTTACATGTTATTACAAGGAAGTACTTAAACATGTTCTTTTGAAAAAAGTGTTTCCCCCAAAATTCTCCCCAAGAAAAATACTATTTCACTTCCAACTGATCTCAACACCTCCCCAACAAACATATTATACTCATATTAAATCTGACAAAAGCTATATGCAATCAGTGATACTCTAGAAGCAAAATTTTGTTTACCCTTGGAGAATAATCCTTAAAAAATTTGTTGGGAAAAAAACCGAAAAGGGATTAAAAAGTTATTTCATAAATTTCAATCACATAATTATACAATCTATTTTAAAAGTAACGAAAAGAAAATTTATTCAAGAAAAATAACAAGAGTATCAGTAACAAGAATGTCAAATGAGAAGAAATCAAATTTCATTAAAATCCTATTGGAATTTACATACAGTAAAACTCTTAACATTTTTCTGTTTAGAAATATGCAATGATTCAGAAGTACTGAAACTAATCATGTGTGATCAACAAACCAATACAAACAAAACAAAAAAATCAAATAAATCAATATAGCAGAGGATCAGACACACATAATGGGGTGATCCCTTAACCTACATCCAGTCCTAGACTGGGGTGCACTCCAGTTAAGGGGCTATTTTCTTTTCCCATTCTTGTGTCAGGCTCCAAGAGCCTTCCTCTTCCATTAGAATTTGGTATTCAGTCTATAACAATGGCATAACTAGCAACCAAGACACATACTATGCAATTTCAAAGAAATAGAGCCTCCACATTTTTTCCACTGCCTAAGTAGCAATGAATTTTTCAAACATTGAGGCAGGACAAAATTTAACAAGGGTCCCCAGCCCAAAGGGAAAGTGTGTTATAAACCATATTGTGAATAAAATTTTTATAGTTGCTATTATTTGAAACGCAACACAAAAATGAACTTTAACTCTATTTATACATCTTTCTAGCCCTGAAAAATCATCTCTGTAAGGGAAACATTGGGTCCAAAATAGCATAAATATGACTTCTTTATAACCAGTGTTTTACAGGGGTTAGCAACCATCCATTGACGCACAGAACAGTGGTACTGGTATGGCTGTTCGGCAGACATGAAAGAGGCCAAAGCTCTAATGAAAGATGCTAGATACAACTGAAACAAGGAGGCTGACTCCACTTCTGCCAAGTTAAACAAGATGCATCTCTCTCATCATTGCTCCTGTTCAAAGTCTCAGACTCTAAAAGGGATAGTGTTCCTGCACTTCAGAACCAGAGGTAAAAACGGCACACTACATGAGACAGCAGTTTATTTTTTTTTTATTTTTTTATTTATTTAAAAAAAAAAAAAATTTTTTTTTTTCAACGTTTATTTATTTTTGGGACAGAGAGAGACAGGGCATGAACGGGGGAGGGGCAGAGAGAGAGGGAGACACAGAATCAGAAACAGGCTCCAGGCTCTGAACCATCAGCCCAGAGCCTGACGCGGGGCTCGAACTCCCGGACCGCGAGATCGCGAGATCGTGACCTGGCTGAAGTCGGACACTTAACCAACTGCGCCACCCAGGCGCCCCAAGACAGCAGTTTAAACAAACAAACAAAAACCTAACTATACCATAAAGATTAATAGTTCTTATGTTGTTATCTCATATATGCAAGTACATGTTTACTCGCGTACATATATTTTCACACTTGGATAGGGACCATCAGGGTCTGAAATGGTCATGGCTGGCCTTCCATAGTGCCATTACAGGCCACTGAAGGCACAGGGGCAAGGGACAGGATGAAGAAAACGTTTGGGAAAGGATTCCCACCCTAGTATGCTGGCGGTGGCCCTTTGACAAATCACTGTTTTGTAGAAGCTCATGATTCTTCCCTCACAAAGTCATTCTCTTTACAATACAGTGTGATCAGACCAATGATGCAGCTCTCCTGCTACTTGCAAGCTGTGCGAAAGGACTGTGTCTTCTACTTTGTCTGCAATCTTCCACAGTGCTTAACCCTAAGTGGTTAAATAAATCGTGGCTGACTAATTAATACCACGAAAGAGGTGGTAGGAAAAGCTAAGTGCAGAATGCTACCCAGTGAAATACAATTCCCTTCAACTATCTAAAATCATAAATTGTTAGAACTAGAAGAGGGTCAAGTCAATTATACACCAATCAGTCTAATCCCCACCTTCACAGTGGAATACGTGAGTCAGGATAAAATTAACAGCAGTTATCCCAATATTCTGGATTCCTTGCGTAATATTTTTTTTCTACTCTAACACTCTTGTCATACACAAAATTTTAGTTTCATTTTTCTTTTACCCACTGGCCACTAAAAGAAATCATTCTTTTTTTTTTTTTAAGTTTTATCCATTTATTCATTTAAGTAATCTCTACAACACCCAACATGAGGATCGAACTCACGACCTCGAGATCAAGAGCCACACGCTCCTCCGACTGAGCCACACAGGCACCCTTAAAAGAAATTGTTCTTAAGCTCATCATCACATGTCTACTTTTGAAAATTCAGAGAAAGAATTGTTTTGAGGTGTAACTTCCTGTAAGTTTTTGACTTTAAAGTTTTATCTCAAAATACATCAGCCTATTTTCTTCCTCATAAAGTTGTTTAATTTCCTCCCACTTATAACAGTAATAAATTCTTTAAGAAGCAAGGTCCTGACAATGACACAGTTTAGCTTCAGTTTCGGATGCTTGAAGCAAAGCCTACCATATTTTAAGAAATACTAGTGTAGTTTTATAGCTGTTTCCATGGGGTCATCCAGGAGTTTTCTGGAAATATGATATGCTCAGCATTTCAACTCTAAAGAAAAACCATAGGGGCGCCTAGATGGCTCAGTCGGTTGGGTATCTGACTTTGGCTCAGGTCATGATCTCATGGTCAGTGAGTTCGAGCCCCGCATCGGGCTCTGTGCTGACGGCTCAGAGCCTAGAGCCTGCTTTGATTCTGTGTCTCCCTCTCTCTCTGCCCCTCCCCCACTCACGCTCTGTCTCTATCAAAAAATGAATAAACATTAAAAAAAAAAAATTTAAAGAAAAACCATAAAGAAGGGTCTGGGAGCATAACCAGACTGAAAAGGAAAGAAGCGACTGGGGAAAACAGAAGCAAGGACTAAACTATGGATGAGTAACAGGTTTTCTGTGAGAATAACCAGGTCTTAAATTAATTTCCTATTGCAGATCTTAACCCTCAATTTGTCTTCTTAAGGAAGGTAGCATGCACTACTTAGTAATACCAAGCTCAAAATGGTAACTGCTTGTTAGATTTTTCTGAACCCTTTACTCCATTTCATCTACCCTACTCAGACTCGTTGATTTCATATTCACATTTCAATCCCAAAGTAACAGCCAAAGTTATTTAAAAAGAAAAGTCTGCTTCTCTTGTATTATGTCAATGTCAGGAAGACAAGTCTCCCGTACAATACAGAGATACAAGGTCTTGTTACCTTTACTATCATTCCAGCAGAACACCTGTCACCTCAGCAGAAGTAATAATGGGATCCTGGTATCCTCATTACCCAATAAAAGGGCAACACTTTGACAAACTACATTACTTGTCACTGGACTTAGGAGATGCTAAACAACAGCATCCATCAGCAAAAGAACAATGAGACCAAATTATAATAGGACTCCTTGTCAAATGTAGAACTCCCCCCTTATCCACAAGAGAGATGTTCCACAACCCCGGGTGCCTGAAACCACAGATAGTACTGAGCCCTATATTATTTTTTCCTACACATATATACCTATGATAAAGTTTAAGTTATAAATTAGGTGCAATAAGAAATTAACAGCAATAACTAAAAATAAAATAGAACAGTTACAATAATATACTGTAATATAAGTTATGTGAATGTGGTCTCTCTCTCAAAATTTTATTGCACTATCCTCACTCAATTCTTGCAATGATAGGAGATAAAATGCCTCTGTGATGAGATGAAGTGAGGTGAGTGACACAGGCACTGTGACGTAACATTAGGCTACTACTGACCTTCTGACAACACGTCAGAAGGAGTATCATCTGCTTCTGGACTGTGGATGACCACAGGTAAGTGAAACCTCAGAAAGCGAAACCAAGGATAAGGGAGGAGTACTGTATACCCTGGAATTCATGATGAAAGATATGGCTGGAAACTTTTACAGTCCTATCAGTACATACCAGGGTCAGTTTTAGAGACAGAAAATATCTATATTAGCAGCTCAAACTGACAAAACCAATTATTAGTAGTATTCTGAACTTATTTATTTATTTTACTTACTTTACTTATCTATCGATCTATCTATCTATCTATCTATCTATCTATCTATCTATCTATCTATCTACTTATAAAAGGTCCTGGCTGCCCTCAAGTACCAGAGCCTGGGTCCAGCCAGACCACTGTGGTTTTTTTGTTTTTTAAATGTTTATTTATTTATTTTGAGGAGGGAGGGTGGGAGGGAGAGAAAGGGGGAGAGAGAGGGAGTGAGAGAGGGGGAGAGAGAATCTCAGACAGACTCTGTGCTGTCAGTGTAGAGCCCGATGCGGGGCTCCAATCATCTCAAGAATGGTGAAATCATGACCTGAGCTGAAACCAAGAGTTGGGACATTCAACCAACAGAGCCACGCAGGTGCTCCAGGATTCTAAATTTAAAATTAAAAACCCTCAGTTAACTTTGTGCACTACACGACAAAAGCCATAAAAATACTTTCCCTCCCAACTTTGTAAGCCAATAAATGATTCCTTTAATAAGCAAAAGGGACACAAATTAAACAACCCGCAATCTTTAACTGGCAGCTTCAGTATGAAATAATACTAGTAGGAATGTTAAACTACTTACTCATACAGCGTTGAACATTTTTGTTTTGGGTTAATGTCCCACAGCTTCTTATTACGGACAACATATTCACTGCTGTGCTGTTCATAGATAGCTTCAAATTCTTCTACATCTTGCCGAAGGTGGTCAGGTACCACAAATGGGCCTGCAGAATTTGGATTGCGTCTGCTGATTAAAAAAAGAAATTTTTTTTGTGAGTCCTAAACTTTGAGATGACCCAGAATATTTAAATTAAAACAAAGATAGTAACATACGACTCAGCCTTACAATGCAAAAAAACACTACCAGATAATTAAATGCAGAAAAGTTACCCGTGTGTGTGTGTGTGTGTGTGTGTAGACATTTATAAACCGTGTGTGTGTGTGTGTGTGTAGACATTTATAAACCGTGTGTGTGTGTGTGTGTGTGTGTGTGTGTGTATACATTTATAAACCTCCAAGGAAGCACTTTTAACTAACTACTTACTCTGGATCCCAAGAACAAATTTTTTGAAACTCCTGGTTTTAAAAGTATCAATGTTATATTAATTGTAACTTGTTAAAGATTTTGTTATAACTGCTATTAATTTAAGCTAAAGTGAGATTGGAACCAGTAAAACACTTAACAAAAAGATTCTTTTGCTAAAGTGTACGATTTTGCATTCTAAAAAGATGTAGCAGTTTGTGAGTTCTAAAACAAGACTACCAGGTTTAATCCTGGCTCAGACATGTACAAGCTTCAGGTTCTTAGGCACTCAACTACACTATGCATGAATCCCCTTATCTGTAAAATGTACATGATAACAGTACTTATCTCCCACGGTGAAGAGTATATTCAATGAGTTTGTATATGTAAAGCCCTGAGAATAGTACCTGGTACATAAGTTCTGTCTAAGTATGGACTATTACTATTTGAACTTAAAATAATTCCTCCATTTAAAGAATCCATGAAAATGTGCAAAAGCAGCTCTTATGACAACTCCTTTAAGAAATGTGAAAAAAAAAAAAAGGGTTTCTGGTTCATAAAGGAATATGACAAAAAGGTCATTGCTACTCGCTACTTTTACTTTTTCTTATGTCTACTTGTTTTCTGAAAACTCAGTTTCAACAACTAGATGTCACTGAAAATCATTCACATCTAAGATTGAACATCTAAAACATCTTCCTCTCTATTATAGCAAATATGCTACTAATTATCAGTAGGAAATTCTCTTCACTGAACATCTTAAAGACTACTTCCTAAATCTTTGCATAGTATCTTGCATATAGTAAGTTCCCAAACTTATCTAATGAATGTCATTAGCCCAATGATTTTAATGCTGTTTGCAGGAATTCTTAATGCTGACAAGCCATATTATAAAATCAACCAAGATGGATCACACTAGGCTGTCATCACAGATGCACAAATTTAGATAGTGAAGTTAGAGAAATAAAACACAAGTTTAAATGATGTTAAATTAATACCACTTGCTAAGTTAATACACTTGAGTTAAAATTTGAAGCACACATTTTCAATTTTACTTACTTGTGGTCTTCACCTGAAGTGATAGTCTCATTATTTGGGGTTACTGAAGATGTTCCAGACCCCACTAACATAGGCTAGTTTAAAACACACAAAAATGAAAACAATTTTCTACCTTAAAATTCCATGAAAAAAAATTAGCATTAAAACAAATGAATGCTTATATAAATATGCATGCAAATTGCCAATATGTAAGACTTATCTAAATTTCCTTGTGAACAGGAACACATAGTAATAAAGTTTCAACACCCATAAATAGGCCCAACTTAACATTCAGGTAGCTTCCAATACTCCAAAAAAACTCAAATGTCAAAGATAAAAAGCCAAGTTTTAGCAGAACTTACAAAGAGCTGCTCTAATCCTCCTCTAATATCTGTTCACTGTCTCAACTCCTGCCCTCCTGAGCTCCCACATACATGACAGCCATGAAGAACCCCCCAGAAGATAAATAATGCCCTATATGGCTCATGGGCTTGGAGCAAATCTTTAAATCCTAAAAAAAGTCTTTCTCTATAAAGTACTTCAAAATATCCCCAAGAACTTGTTAATTCTAATTTATATATTCAATTAACTATTTGACAAGAATTAATACCAAAAATACTCCATACCTTTGAATCTTTTGGCTTCTTTTTCTTGCCTTTATTTTTTATCTTGGCAGAATTAAACTGGAAAAATGGGGGAAAAAAACAATGAACACTCAAATAACAGCATGATGAAGCTCTGTATAAAGTATATACTGGTTTTAGCCACAAGTTGAATATCCACAAAATGCTGAACAAAAATAACACTTCATATGTTAGCCCTAGTGTTATGATTTATAATAGAAAATAAGAGAAAGACTAATAATGACTGTTATAACTAAAACTGCTTCCAAAAATTGTTTAATGTCTTATTTCTCAGAGAGTGTGTGTGTGTGTGTGTGTGTGTGTGTGTGTGCACACGCAAAGGAGGGGCAGAGAGAGAGGGAGAGACAGAATCCCAAGCAGGCTCTGCACTGTCAGCCCAGAGCCCGATGCAGAGCTTGATCTCATGAACTGTGAGATCATAACCTGGGATGAAATTAAGAGTCGGATGCTGAACCGACTGAACCACCTCTTGGTCCAACATTTTAATAAGGTGTATGTTATTTCAAGTAATTAATCAGTCTTTTAGAGTAATTCCGATTATATGCTACCACCATTTCAATGGCATCCCTTTTCTTAAGGTAAACTGGACACTCTACACCTGGCCAACTCTGAGGCACAGTGGACTTAGAAGACATTTAACTTCCCACTGGGTGTGTTAGTTGTGTTTCCATACTTAGCTGGGCAGTATATTTCACAGGCAGATTAAGAAAAGTTCAAGTACAGATGACCTGATCCTAAAAATCAGTAAATATGCATCTTTCTGTTTGAAAACTGCCACAACCTACTAAGAAAAACGACTCTGGAATTATTTTAACTTAACTTAGTTTGGAGCCATTCAAAACAAAGTCTCTTTGTTTTCCTTACAGAACAAAACATTAGAATTTTAATCATTACAGATAACTTCTCATTTTTAGGCAGGAGATGACTCAACTCCTTCCCTGTTTCTGAGATTAACAATTATTAGTTGCGAAACTTTATGGACATTGTCTAATTTAAGCCTCTTGAATTTGCTGATTGCTGATTGTCACTCTAATTCCAAGAGGAAGACTGGCATTAACATTCTATAAATGAGTATATGTTAGCCAGAAATCCTCCATGTTTGGTTCTAGAATGCCACCTGTGATGTAAGTAAACACTGGCCTGGGTACTCCTTCCTCTCTTCCTTTGGCTAACACAAATTAACACGTTTAAAGCAATCAAATAACCTACCGGCACATCACCACTGTCTTGTTTCCTTAATACAGTACAGCGGCTGTCTGTAGGAAAATACCAATAAATTGTGAGAAAATGAAATTTTTACACTGACAGCACACTAAAGCCTTAAAGAAAATCACCGCAGACACTACTATCATCAACTATATTTTGCTCCTTATTTTGCTTTGACACAAGTTTAGTTTAGAAACCAAGAGCAAATGGCCAATTAAATGGAAACCAACTACAAAGAATCACAAAATGTCAATCTAGTTCAGCATAATTTGAGTGCCTTCTAGATATCAAACTCTGTGCTAGATGCTGCGAATACAAAGATGCAGAGAATAATCCCTGTCATAGATACGCTTGTATTCTAAGCTTATGTTGTACAAATATACAAGCAAGCAAATACGTGCAACCCAGAGTGCCAAGTGCCTCAATAAATACAATGGAAACAAAGCTGATGGAATAATACAGTTTTCAAGGATAAAGGCCCAATGACAGGCCAGGGAGGGCTCAGAGAGGGATGCAATATCAAAATGAGACTTGAAATAAACAAGCAAAGGGGCAGGACGTAGTTGGAGCAAACGCAGGAGCAAAGACATGAGGCAGGAAAAGTACGAGGAGGGTTTGTACACCTTCAAGAAGTGGGGTGTATGTACACAGGGCACATGGGGAGAGTGATGATAAATCACACAGATGATGTGAATTTAATGTGTAGGCAAAACTAAGCAAGTGTTTAACAGAATTGTTACAGTTGTATGAAAGAGATGTTCCAGAAGAGTCACTAGTGGCAATATAAGAGGAAGATCTGTAGTGGGAAGATCTAAAGAACAGACACCAGTTTGGAGGCTACCAGCATGGTCTAATCATGGAAAGCTTATTAAGGTTCTGACCTAGGGAAGTGGAGATGGACAGGAGAGGAGAGATCAAAGATAAAGCTTACTGGAACGGGTGACAGACTAGATATGGGGTAATAGGGAAAAGGAAGAATCAAGACTTTTTTCAGGGTTTCCTGCATAGATACAAGATATACAACAATGTTACTGAGATAAATTTAGGAAAAACAGGTCTCTGGGGATACAGTAAGTGGGTTCAGCCACACTGCTCTTAAGGGACCTTTTAGTTGTCTACAAAGAACTACCAACAGTAAAACAGTATGCAGAGTTCAGGAGACAGGCTGAAACTCTGAATTAGTGATAGGATTGGATGTTTTTATTTACAAGATCAGTGGATTCTGAAAAGTTTTAAGAAATATAATCATCCCTTTAAATGAAAAGAGACAAAACTGAAAATGTCTGGAGTAAGGGTGAGAAGCACAGCTCTTGGAGAGAAAATCTGTTGGGATGGCTAGTCATTTGGTTGGTGGCTTCTGACTCTATGACTAAAACCAGAGGAATAGTCATAGTATATCTGGGGTATAGAACACAAGAATCAGAAAAAATGCACACAAAGAAAGAATTGTGTCCTTTTTAGTTATTTTGTTGTGTGATCCAAACATGCATCGGGTTTTGTAAGCTCAGTCCCCAGACAGTATTTTACTACCGGCAGCAGCAAACTGACGGCAATAAATTCAGGCTACCAACAAGCACGTCACCTCCAGCCATGAAGCTGTGTCCTGGAAAAATAAGCCATCTGTATTTGAATGTGCTCCTTCCTAAGACCCAGAACAAAAGCAAGCTTTTCAGTTCCTTATACATATGAAATTTGTAATGTGTGATACTTCTGTACAAGGCTGGACTTTTTAATGTGCTCTTTAAAACAAAGCATGAAATTTTAGGTCTAACTGCTGACAACATGTAAAGCAAATACTAAGGAATGCTGAGGGATTGGGGTGGGGTGGGAGATTATCATAAGACATACATGTAGTACCCAAGATAAATTAAAATTAATATAGAATCTAAGAATATTAGAATTTTGAAGCAAAATGGGACCACACAGATCAATGGCTCTAAATCCTATCACTTCAATGATGAAGAAACTAAGATCCAAGGGAAACTAAGGAATTAACTACTAGTCCTCCTATTCTACCAAACTGGACTCCATGCCACTACCCAAACAGGTGACCTGACTCCCTCCTCAACCCCATGTCTCTAATCCCAGGTGTCAACTTGGGAGGTGTCCAACTACCTCCCTGTTCACAGCTTGGACTCCAGTGCTGCACCAAGGGTTCGCCCTCCCCAGGAAGAGCACAAGGGCTTGATCCTCCATTTGAACCCCCAGCACTCTTTCTGATCCTCTCTTATTGAGCTTACGGCCATATTATAGTTATTTGTATATTCATTTTACTCCCTTTTCAACAACATAAGGTCTTGAGGGCAGGGACTAGTATAAACATTTCTGAGTACCTGGTTAACACCCAGCTCAGGCAGGGGCCTTGAAGAAGTAGTAAAAACAAAGTTTTTAATGAATTGAATTAGAGAAGAAGCTGGGCCATAACCTACTTTTCCTAACTCCCAATTCTAAGTTCTTCCCACTACAACAGATGTGCTATTTATAGATTCTGCAAACATCACCTCCTTTGCAGGGCAATGTTTTCTTGAATGTTAAACATCAAACCATTTACTAATAAATTCTGTCCACTTAATATGCAACCTTTGCCATGATACTGTTAAAGTACCTAAAATGAGAACAGTATGGTACGTAGTCAGTATAATATACCCATCTGAGTATCTCTATAACACTTGGCTCAACAGAGTAAAAAGATTCTATGACAAAAAAAAAAAATCATTATTCTTAATCACTAATTTGCCCACATAAGCTGGCTGTACCACAATTCTCACTATTTTTTTAAGTATTAAATAAGCTAGGTCCTTTGGAGATATTTTTTCCCCTTAGGTATAAACTAAAACTCAGTCTACATACCCATTATATCAAAGAATTCATCTAAAGCATTATGCAACGCTGGGAATTTGTCTCTGTGTTCTTCTAGCAGCCATATTAAACATCGTGCTTCCTTCAATGATGTTGGCTCACAGAAATAATCAAGTTGCTTTCCTTCTATAGAGGCTAGTTTATGACCGTATTTCTCATTCCAGAGAAAAGTCATGATGCTAAAATCAAGCTCCTTAAGAGATGCTCCATAACGAGAAAAAAAAGGTCCCGTGGCATCTAAACCTGTTAATAAAAACAAAACCCAAATCAGAAAAAGGGAAAATCATTTACAGTAAAATCACACTCAGTCATACATCTCTGAAAGCAGTTCAATTATAATTTGCTTACATTTTCAGTGAAAAACACATATTTGAACATAAACTTGTTCAAGCTATTTTGCATTTTAGAATACGACTTAACACTGATAGGCTAATGACAATCATTCTTCTCTATTAGTTGAATAAGATGGACCAAAAGCTTCTTACAAAATAGCTCGTATATTAAAAGTTTATAAGGTTATTTTTACTAGACTTAGGCAATGAAAGCAGGCATTAAATTCCTTTAAAAATATAACAACTTTTTCACTAATTCAAAATGATGTTCATCCTAATTAGTGCAAGCTAGCAAGATTTTACAGTGCTTTTCTATGTATCTTTCACAGGAACAAAAAATCAGTAATATGCAAAAGCTTTCCAAATGCCTTTAAAACAGGACATGGGTAACCACCCCCACCCAATACCTCCATCAATGGCTCCTTACCCTCCTCCAAAATCAGGATAGTCACTATTCCCACTGTTACTCCACTTGCTACCCAATCAGAGAAAGAAGTAGCTGCAAACTCGTACTGCTACTGAGGGAGGGGCGGTGAGCCCTGACCCTACCAACAGCCACCAAAAGGCAAAGGTTGGCTCTGTTCTGTCTTCCCACTCGCCTCTGATACAGCATGATCACCTCGTGTTGGCCATGGTTTATCAGTCAGCAAATGAAGCAGACTGCTGAGTCAAAATTACCTTGGATGGCTGTTTCTTCCAGATGAAATAGTTACCTTGCAGTGGTCATGATGCATGAAAAATGTGCTTACTGAAGGGAAGGCACGAGATGGCTTCTAGTATTAAAATGTTAACCTCTTCCCACACCCTGCATGTGACCTGACCTCTCATGTTAAATACGCACATGATGTGACTCCACAGTATAGACTTTTGTTGAGAAGTAAAATTCCAAGAATTGGAAATTACTTGCCTTAAATATACATGAGTTTTACATCAGGGTTATAGTACAACCTTACTTTAATTAACATGCCTGAAGGAATTTAAATAGAAACAATTTTAAATACTATGCATACATACTTATTAAAATGATACTTTAATCTTCAGAATAAATGTGAATTATATCAAAAGGCCACATTAACATTTCCATCAGTGAACTATAAGGCTCAAATGCTCTAGTTGACCCAAAGCAACAATGGCAGGCACTCTTGCCCAGGTAAACATAACCAGAAAGCCTACTTCTCCTGAGCCTATCTTCCAAAGCAGATTAAAGTGAGAATAACATTGTAATTTATTATTTGATTGTTAGTAGATGCTAATGACAACCTGATCACTTAAGAGTGATTTTCTGGGACCAGAAACCCATGCAGACCTATGCTCAAAGCAGCAACACTTATCTATCAACTATGTTGAGCTTGCTTCTATCCTACTTTGTTTCCACTGACAGAAATTTATCAATACACTCCCCAAACTCTAGAATTCTAACAGCTCCCTGTCCCTAAAAACTCCAGCAGATCCGTGTGACTTGCAGAGGCCTGGCAGGCTCACTCTTTGGACTGCCCTGCTATGGCTCCTACTGGCCTTGTATCCAACTGCTGCCAACGGAGTCATCTACCATTTGAGGCCAGTTGCCATCACGGTCACCAAGGTAAACAGTGCCCTGGTAGGTACCCAGAAAACTCTCAATCTAGTGTTAGACAACAACTCTATCTGCAGCTGCTTTCTGAGGTCCCCGCATGGCCTTGGGCTGCTTGGGGGGAGGAGAGGGTCTTCCTCAACCAAATTAGGAAAATCAGGAACAGTAGTAGCAGAGTTTTATAATCCTATGATTCAACCTCAGAGAATTTTTCCCATGATCTTTAGATACGGATTGCCCTCGGTGATCCTAAGCAATTAGTTCCATCCATTCTTTCCTCTAAGTTTTCTAAGGAATCTGTCTACAGAACTGCACGGTCCCAGAGGGCACTCGGACAGCTGCCTGGCGGGGGGGGGGGGGGGGTTGCTATTTACCCATGACTGTGCCTACTATTCACGTGGTTTACACATTTACAAATAGTAGCAAAATATAGGACTGGATTTTCTAAGTGACTGAACTTTCTTGTGTTTACACCTTTTGAAAAGGTAACTTATCTATAACTGTAACCTATCTATAAAATAACCTAAATTGTGAATTGGGAGGAAACAGTACTTTTAACCAGACAAATTTGTGGTCCTACATTTAAAAAAATCCTATATGATGATAGAAAAAAAGAGGGTTCAGAGGCAGATATCCAGCCTTCCTGCTAATAAACAGCAGCCCTCGAGTTCAGTGGCATTACCAAAGCTGTTCAGTTTCTGGATCCAGGCAGCTAATTTGGGCTCCACTTCTTTAAGCTCGCTCAAAACATGCAGAAATATCCTGGTCTTTACTCTGTTCTTCTCTTGAATCAAGTGACGAATGACATAGTCCACCGCTTCATTTAAAAAATTTCTGCTAGAAAAACAGGTTGTGTAGTCTTCTGTGCTTAAAACCTTCCAAGAAAGCAATTCTTTGAGAAGCTTGGAAGTGTTCAGAATACCAGATTTTATCTTGTCAGCATACTGCTTTATGCACTGCAGAATTCTGTCATCAAGGAACTGGCAACTCTGAACACTGTCTATAGTTTCTAAGGATAAAGAAAAGTGGTCAGTTAAAGTAAGCAACGGGGCCAATTTGCAAAGATATAAACTGAGAAAGAAATAATATAACATTACATAATAATGTAAAGTACAGTTCAGAGGGATTCTTAATGTTTTAAATAAACTCAAGAAATTTGGAAAATAATTGCTTAGCAATATGTTTGAAAACACAGTCACATTAAACCAGACACATCAGAAGTTAAGTACTCCTTCACTCTGTACCACTCATGTAACATCGAAAAACTCAGTTCCTCCAAAATAGGGTTACTTTCCTCAACAATCCTAACCCAGCCTCATCAACATTTACATTCAATAACTGTTTAATCACTAAGAATGCAAAGAGTGTTTTCTGGAGTTGAAGGGATCATTTATTCAGTTGAATTCAATTAATATTTGGTAGTTACTGTTAGGTTTTTCATCTTATTATTGGATCCTAAATCACAGGATCCCATGGAGTTGTTGATTCCAAGCTGGAAAATTTCTCAGAAAATTTCTCAGAAGTTCATGTTCCCAACCCAGGCATCTCCCTTACAGAGGGCCATTTAGCCCCTTGAGGCATGCAAAATTAAAACACATTCACCAAAGACTTTTACAATAGAAAAGGTAATTTTGATTGACTGGTGAAACATTAATGGAATACTAAATAAAACATAAAAACAAGAGGAAATATTTCATTTTGGGAACAGCCATCACAGTAGAAAACAAGATTAACTTCCTTCAGCTGAAAACTGAAAGTAGTCCTGGGGATGTAATGTACAGCATGGTGATTACAGTTAATAAGACTGTATTGCACATTTGTTTTTTTTTGTTGTTTTTTTTTTTGAACGTTTATTTATTTTTGGGACAGAGAGAGACAGAGCATGAACGGGGGAGGGGCAGAGAGAGAGGGAGACACAGAATCGGAAACAGGCTCCAGGCTCTGAGCCATCAGCCCAGAGCCCGACGCGGGGCTCGAACTCACGGACCGCGAGATCGTGACCTGGCTGAAGTCGGACGCTTAACCGACTGCGCCACCCAGGCGCCCCAGTATTGCACATTTGAAAGTAGCTACTAGAAGAGTGGATCTTGAAAGTTCTAGTCATGAGAAAAAAATTTCTGTAACTATGTATGGTGATGGAAGTTAATAGGTCTATGGTGATCATTTTGCAATATATATAAATATGCCATATATACATCATGTTGTACACCTAAAACTAATACAATGTTACATCATCTATTCCTCAATTTAAAAAAAAAACCTTAATTAAGAAAAAAACTTGGTGCCTGGGTGGCTCAGTTGGTTAAGCTTCAGACTCTTGGTTTCGGCTCCAGTCATAATCTCACAGTTTTATGAGCTCAAGTCCCACATTGGGTTCTGCGCTGACAGCACAGAGCCTGCTTGGCATTCTTCTTGTCTCCCTCCCTCTCTGTCCCACCCCCACTCGCGTTGTCTCTGTCTCTCTCAAAATAAATAAATCAACTTAAAAAAGTGTTTAAAAAGAAAAAAGTCTGAAAGTAAATATACTCACAGGAACAGTATAACAACTGAGACATTCCCATGTAGATCAGGGAATAATGACAAGATGAACGTAAAACAGAAGGCTGGATTAGGTTATCTCTATCGATCTTTTATGAACGGTTTCTTTATTTGAACTCAACATTATTTCACATTCAACTAATTCCACATTCAGCTAATTCACATTCAACATTCACATATATCTGCACAGTAGGGTTCAGAGCATTGCTAAACACAGAATATGCATGTCAGCTATTATTTCCACCGTCACTTTGGAGATGAGGACATGGACACAGATTCTGCCCCATGTTAGTGTACCGCTATCCCTGTGTACTAGGATTTTGAATCCCTATGTACTGCTTCCAAATTCAGTGCTCTTTACACCAACTTCTCCCCATCTAGAGCAACACAAGAAAAGTGACGGTATTAACATACTAACTGAACTCTTAATTTCAATTCGGTAGCAACACAATGCCCAGTAAGACGGACATATTAAGCAAGAATATATTATTCTCATCATGCCTTGGACTTCAGCATACCTTTCTGCTCTTCAGTTTTGGGCAGATTACTTTCCCTTAAGTCCTCTTCCATCCTTTCTTGTGCTAATTTTTTTGCTTCTTTTTTTTGGAGCTTTCTCTTCAATTTTTTGTCTTCTTTCAGTCTTAGCTTCTCTAGGCTGATAAGCATTTACAGTTAGTGGTAATCCACCTTTGTTATAAACTCAATTAACTATTTCCTTTGCCTATTACAGAAACCATTCTCCAAGCAGTAAGTTAGAATTTGCCCTTTGAATTTAGAACTTGGCCTGCATCTTCTGTTCAATATCAAAAACTGTTGACACGTGTTCAGTTAAAATTAGGGTACTTGTGTCATGAAAACAAGAATTCAATGACTGAGTGATTTATAATTAAGGCTGGCATGTATAGGTTATACAAATGTTATTATCATATATATAAGTTACTGCTTAGGGTAAACAGAAATAGTAAAAATTAGTCTGTAAGAGAATGCATATGTACACTCATTTCAAAGAAAGATTCCACAGTAAAATATTATTTTCACATCCTAATGATAGCCCACAACATTGGAATTTGGTTGATATGGTTTACAAAGAATTCTCTTCAACAAATATTTCTGTTCATCTTTTTTTTTGCTTTTTCTTGGTCACAAACGATGAAAAAAATCACTTCTTAGAATGGAAAACAAGAAGCAGGACCAAAAAGAAAAAGAAAAAGCATTGGAATTATTTGATCTAAACAACATATATATAGAGAAGTGAGTAATTCTGACAGTATATTGAGTTTTTTAGGGTGAGAAATAGTCATTGGTTCAAAAATATTTGCTGAAGAGAGATAAAAAAAAGAAAAATGCTTTTGGAATTAAAGTTTAAACAACTGAGAGCTAAGTGTATAATTTTTATCTAAATGCCAAATCTACTAATCAAACGTCATTTCACACCATCAAATGTCATAATTTTACTTAAAATTCAAATAATGTTTCTTACTCAAGCTTTTGATATTTAACCATTCTAGGCTAGTTCTCTTTTCAAGTTTTAAATATCCACAAAATTCATTTAACCACCACTTACTTGGGTATGTGTACACAGCCAATTTAAAACACAGCGTAATTCAGAAATCTGCATTTAACAGAATTACATTCTAATAGACATCATTAAACTACCAATTGATTGTTAAAAATCTTACCTAGAACATTTCTGTTTCAGAATAGGTCTTGGAGGAACCTTTTCTTTTATGACCTTGTGTTCAAACTTTAAATAAAACAAAGACATCCAAAATTTGTCTCATACTCCCATGACATAAAGCACAAAACCACAAGCAACAAGCATTTCAGAAGCACCCGCAATGTTCAATTTGATAGAGAACAGTGGTGATGCTCTGACCCAGACAAAAGCCCAGAAAATTTTAGCAAAACAATTTACTGAAAAGAGGAACAAAAGAATAGACACACCTTAGGAAGATTAAAAAAAATTAAGAGTGAGCAGATCAAATAAACTACAAATACCATTAGAACAACCCATAACCTTCCATATTGTGAAGTGAAAGGTAATCCTTTGAAACTCTTCCCCTTCCCTAAGAACCCCACCCTCGTTAATACCCAAAAGTTTACTGAGGATTAAGGAAACAAGATTATCAAAGAGTTCAAACTGTAAAACTGAAATGTCAAAAGTCTCCTCTTTTAGGAAATTAAAGAACGTGAGAATCTTTCATTGCAAAGGTATATTCTCACATCCTAAAATTTCCTATATTTTCTTAAATTAAATAACTTTTTTTTCCTGGAAAACATAAGACTGTAGAACTTCTACAAACTTAAATCATATTTTAAAAGGTGTAAATGTTTTGATTAACAATTTGGTAATATTTTCCCTTTATTAGATACTTACTTCACATTTAACTTGACCACCACTGCTGAAAATGATAATCTTAGAAATGATTCCTTCACAGTCAGGGGTAAGACAAATTCCTTGCAGAAAATCCTATTTGATTAAAAAAACAAGTGCTATATCTCTGCATAAATCTATAGATGCATACCATTTTAATCATCAGAAATAGTCAAGATACATCAGAAACTTCCTTTAGGGAGGCAATGAAAGTCCCTGCCCATTGTCTTCCGACTTTCGGAGCCTCCCATATAGAAGGAATATACTTCCAGCTGTAGGGCTGACCACATGACTTGCTTTGGTCAATGCAAGGTGAGCTGACATAACGTACACTATGTCCACGTGAAAGCTTTAAGAAACACCGAATGAACTGGCTATTCCTCTTCACCCTCTGCCACAAGAACACGTTCCAGTCACTCTTCAACCTCAACTCAGAAACAATACAGCTACGTAGACTGGAGATGCTACAGCCCAACTCTGTCAACAGCTTGCACAACTTTAGGACAATCAATGTCAGCAAGAAATGAACTCTTCTTATTGTAAATTACGAGATATTTGCATTGTGTATTACTTTAATACATCCTAGTGAAAGAGGACTAATTGACAGAGTGTATTTCAACCCACAGGCATGGTTAAGACCACTAAGGGAGCATTGTGTAACTAGAGAAACTCAGTTAACGTAAGACACAGCAAAAGTGATTCAACGGCAACAGTTATTTGTTCATATCATTGTATCATTACTTAACTATGTGAAACTGCATAAAATGTGAGCATTTATTTCTACCAAACTTGAATAATTCCTCTTGCTACGAAGACACCACACAAGCACCTTACTCTTTTCCCCAATAAGAGGGGATTACATGAGGCTAAGCAGTGTAGAAAATGTTTTTTTTTTGAGTCAATAGCTTATTGAATCAGAAACAAATTCTATGAATGCAAATTAGATTACAAAACTGTGCCTTCTTTCAAAGTACACCTAGCTAATGGTAATTAACATTATAACCTTGCTAATTAAGAAAAAACACAAAAAGAAGCAGGAGTACCAAATTTAAGTTGATTGCTTAGCACAAATTATCTCATTACATTTCGGTAGAAAATAAAAAATATGAAACCCCAATTCTACATCAGAATGTTAACATTAGACATTTAAATTTTTATTTTTAACCATAACATTCCCAATGTAAAAACTGGTTAAACAGTTTATTAAAGGTCTCTATGGCTATTGCCTTTATACCAGTATAAAGTAACAACAAAAACTGATTTTCTACTTTATCATTCAAATAATAATTTAAAACTTTTAGTTATGTTTAGAATGCACAGAAAGGGGGGTGCCTGGATGGCTCAGTCAGTTAGATGCCTGACTTCGGCTCCGGTCATGATCTCACGGCTCTTGAGTTCAAGCCCTGCACTGGGCTCTATGCTCACAGCTCAGAGCCCCGAGCCTGCTTCGGATTCTGTCTCTCTTTATCTCTGTCCCTCTCCCCCTCACACGCACGCATGCTCTCTCTCTCTCAAAAATAAATATTTTAAGAAATTAAAAAAAAAACAACACAGAAAGGAATTTATATTCACTTAAAGTTTTTTCTGAAGATTCTCAGGGGAAAAAAATCAACATACAATAGACATACTAAAAGTTCCAAGCTATTTTGTGAACTTACCTTGTCAATTTTATCATTAAAAGTTGTTGTTTTCAATTTCTTCCAACAGTTCATGTGAAATTCTATTTTACAGTACTGGCAGCAGCTGATTCGTATAAAACCCTATGGGTTTAAAACAATTTTTAATATACATTTTAAAGATGTCTACACACACACACACTCTCCCTCACAATCACAACACACATATTAAGATAAAAGAGAGAGCTGTCTGCGTTCACCTGGCAAACATAACTGGACATCACATTCTCTCCTAGGGAAGTACAATCTTTCCCCAAAATGCCTAGTGCTAGAGACAGAGACCTTGACTGGCATATTCATTTCCATAGCATATAGCTGCATTATTCTTTATAATACCAAATATTGTATAAACAGTATTCACCTGATCTACTAACCAGGAACAGTGGGCAGCTACTGTCTTGAATAAAGTAAAGCCAAGTAACCTTAAGTGCCAGATCTGGTTTCAGATTTAGGTCTCTAGGAGTGAATTCAGTGGTCACAATGGCCCTTAGATTCTTAGACTCAAATTTTATAAGAAATTAGAATTGCAACAAATCAGAGGTAACAACCTCATTTTCTTTCCAGTGTTCCTAAAGAACATGAACAGTGGCTAGAAAGCTGAAATAGACTTAGCTAGCCTGCCTTCTACGGTCACTCCCTGCCCTCAGAGTTTCTTTAGTGACTGGCTCTGGGTCCCCGTGTGAGATGATATAGACCTAAGAAGTCCAGGGGATGGGGTACAGACAAGAGGACATAAAACTGCTGACAAGCCAGAGAACTTAGCTACCTCCAATTACAGAATCTGTTTTGAATCCATTTTAAGGCATAAATCTGCAAGTTACTGTCCTACCGTATGTTCATTACGTACCTTAAAGTCTGGATCAGTTATATATATCTGGATTTTAGAATATCCACGGCACTTCTGATAGCAACAAATGGCATCTGGCACTGGAGGGAACCTGCATTCTTCAATAAACTTCTCTAACAGCATCTAAAACAAAAATAAACAAAAATAATATTATAACAACACTAATTTGTCAATGAAAGTCCTTATGATTTCAATAGCCTCTTGCCCTCAAAACATTTTCAGCATAGGAATGACTAAATGTTTTTTAGCAAAGAATAAACTACATATAACTTTTAAAGTTTTTCCTTTCAGAAGGAGGCTGAGACATACCCAGAGATAGAGTCAGAAAAAAAAAAAGACTGAACAAAAGTTTCAGAATTTCAATGTCAGAATCAAAATCTTATCCTGTGTTATTATCATCAAGGCTCATTTTACAAGGTTAGCTCTTCAAGTGTCCTTTAGGCAGTCAGAGGGGGTCAGAGGAGGCAGAATAACCCTGAGGAATCTCCCCTGCTCCTCCTTGCCAGAGGCACATCACCTGGGATCCTATCACCCTCAAGCATCTTGTGCATTCCCTGGAGAATTACCCCACTGCCACTGACGCCCCAAGAGACCTGGGCCATGCTTCCAGTGTTGGCTTTCTGTTATCAATAGCTCCTCTGTCTCCATCCCAATTTACTACAAAGAGAACATTCGATGATTTTTTTTTCAACAGTTTCGTTGAGATATAATTCACATAGCATACAATCCACACGTTTAAAATAGGGGCGCCTGGGTGGCACAGTCGGTTAAGCGTCCGACTTCAGCCAGGTCACGATCTCGCGGTCCGGGAGTTCGAGCCCCGCGTCAGGCTCTGGGCTGATGGCTCAGAGCCTGGAGCCTGTTTCCGATTCTGTGTCTCCCTCTCTCTCTGCCCCTCCCCCGTTCATGCTCTCTCTCTGTCCCAAAAATAAATAAACGTTGAAAAAAAAAATTTTTTTTTAATGTATATGGTTCAGTGGCTTTCAGTATGTCCACAGGGTTGCACAACCACTGCCTCAGTCTAAAGTTAGAACGGATTTATCACCCAACCAAAAACCCCATCCCTCCCCATTTCCCCCTACTCCCCCAGCCCCTGGCAACTACTGATCTACTTGCTGTCTCGAAATATAGATTTGCCTATTCTGGAAATTTTAGATGAATAGAATCCTAAAATATGCAATCTTTTGTGTCTGGCTTCCTTTACTTAGCATGTTTTCAAGGTTCATCCATGCAGTAGTACTTATCTGTACTTCATTACTCCTTATGGTCAAATAATACTCAATTTTATGGGAGGACCACTATACAATTTTATGAATGGTTTATGAATGGTTTGATTTAACTATTATTCATCAGTTGATGGACACTTGAGCTGTTTCCACTTTCTCACTATTATGAATAATATTGCTAATAAACATTTATGTACACATTTTTGTGAGAGTACATGATTTCCTTTCTCTGTATATCCCCAGAAGTGAAACTACTGGGTCACGTGGTTACCCTATCTTCAACCTACTTAGAAGCTGCCAGAGCATTTTACATGTCCCCCAGCAACGTATGGGGGTTCTGATTTCTCCACATCTTATAAACACTTGTCTTCCTTCTTGAATACAGCCATCCGAGTGTGTGAAGTACTATCTTCACTATGGTTTTAATTTGCATTTCCCAGATTGCTAATGGTGTTGAACATCTTTCACATGCTTACTGGCTATCTGTAGAAATGTTTGGCAGATAGAGGTATTCAGATCCTTTGGCTACTTTTTATTATTTTTTAAAATTCCAGTATAATGGCTACTTTTAATTGGATTGTCTTTTTATTATTGAGTTGTAAGAGTTGACCCCTGTGCTTTTAAAAGCTTCAGCCAAAAGCCAAGTTCTGTACACATGCCAAGTTCTCCACAAGTAAAGGCCTATTCTAGTCAATCCACACGTAACTTAGTCTTTTCAGAAGTAGCAAAGCATTCTATGCCTCTGGATATGAGACTAAATTTATTTTCTAAGTCCTCAAGTACCATCTTAATAACTATAGTCACCATGATGAAACCATGATGCTATACCTTTCTCTAAGTATAACCAGTGAGTCATACTCCTCAATAACGCATGATCTCAGGGCACCTGGGTGGTTCAGCTGGTTAAGCATCTGATTCTTGGTTTCAGCTCAGGCCATGATCTCATGGCTTTGTGGGTTCCAGCCCCACACAGCCCAGAGCCTATTTGGGATTATATCTCTCCTCCTCTCACTCTGCCCCTCCCCCACTCACATGGTCTCTGTCTCTCTCAAAATAAGTAACTTAAAAAAAAATAATAATGCATACTCTCAAGTCAGAATGCCGAGATTCAAGTCCCAGCTCCACCATTTCCTAGCTGTTTAACCTGGAGATCATCATTTAACCTCCCTAACTTAATCTACAGTAAAGTAAGAATATTCCTAGTACTCATCTTGCAGGGTTGCTGTACAGATTAAAGGTATGATAAATGCAAGTTGTATGACCGGCACATAGGAAACAGTTAACAGATGTTAGTGATTCGCACTAGTCTTTAAAGGGGAAATACATGTGGGGATGCTGAGGACAGGGTGTCCCTACCTTTTTGTCTCCTGATACCCGGGTCAGTCAGTGCAAATTAGTTTTTGCAGTTAGAAGCTCTTTAGAGTTAGTTAGAAGTTCTCTGCAAAAATCAATGTTTACCTTTATTTTCCCTGGTTGAGTCTCTTCAATAATCACATTACTTGTGGGCCAAGTTAACACTCCAGGAAGGCGACAAATCAAGGTTCTTGCTTTCTCAAAATGATTAAGAGCTTCTAGAAATCTAAAGTCAGAATTATGAAGAAAGAAGATATTAAAGCTGTGATAAGAATTTTCATTCCCCACAATAAAAGTCACAGAGATTTCAAGTTTACTAAGAATACATCTGATAAATCACTGTAGAGAAATATTCAATACAACCTATATTTTCTTTAAAAAACACAGGCATGTTGAATCACTATTATTGTACACCTGAAACTAATATAATACTATAGGTTAACTAACTGGAATTAAAATAAAAACTTTTTAAAAAAGCATTACCATTGCTTACTATAAAAGTAATATAAATTAAAACACAAATCTGCCTGGACACTGGCTTTATTGTGGTAGGTGCACACTAGTCCTTTTAAAGTTGTAATTTATTATTTAAAGTTTCCAACAATTAGGAGTGCCTGGGTGGCTCAGTCGGTTAAGTGTCCAACTTCAGCTCAGGTCATGATCGCACAGTTCGTGAGTTCAAGCACCGCGCTGGGCTCTGTGCTGACCGCTCGGAGCCTGGAGCCTGCTTGGGATTCTGTGTCTCCCTCTCTCTCTCTCTCTCAAAAATGAATAAGCATTAAAAAAAATTTTTTTTAAGTTTCCAACAATTGAAACAGAAAACTGAACAATTTGGTTGTTCCATTTTTATTTGTTTTGTTTACTAATAAGTTAGATTCCTGTAGAGAAATGGCAACCCTTCATTTAAATTAATCAATCATAAATACTTTTTTTTTTTTAACTCTATTAGGACATCTATAGTAAAAATCGCTCTTCTGAAAAAATTCTAAAGAGACTGTGTATGCTAGACATCTTCAACCATAAAGCAGTATTTTAAAAGAACAAATGTGTATGTAAACTTTTAACTATATGAAATGTTTTAGTTATGGTTTATGTTTTTAAAAAATGTCAATCGATTTCCATAGTCCATTCAGCAAAAGAATACTAACATATTGGATTATAAAGTTAATCAAGTCTTTATAATTCTCTTGAGACTAGAGAAGAAAGTTTTCCTGCTTTCTCCAATCTTGAAATGATTGCCCAATTTAAGAACGTTTTTTTTTTTTTTTTTGCCTATGGGGAAGAAAAATTCACCTGCAGAAAATTCACCATCCACCGTAAGACAGTTCACAGAACTTTTACCAGAAATTGCATATCACAACAGCAAACAACCAGCTAAATATTAGACATTGAACCCCACAGCAGATTATTTTGAAATCAAAATGTAAATGCTTTTCAAAATGGCAAAGACTTTATCATTTATCATAATTCCCATGATATTACACATTACGATCTATTCCTAGAACTTGTGAATAACTGCATATGACCGCTGCATTAAAAAGGGTATATCCTGGGGCGCCTGGGTGGCTCAGTTGGTTGGGGGGCCGACTTCGGCTCAGGTCATGATCTCACGGTCCGTGAGTTCGAGCCCCACATCGGGCTCTGTGCTGACCCGCTCAGAGCCTGGAGCCTGTTTCGGATTCTGTGTCTCCCTCTCTCTCTGACCCTCCCCCGTTCATGCTCTGTGTCTCTCTGTCTCAAAAATAAATAAACGTTAAAAAAAAATTTTTTTTTTAAAAGGGTATATCCTAAAGGCACCTGGGTGGCTCAGTTGGCTAAGTGTCTGACTCTTGATTTTGGCTTCAGGTCCTGATCTCACGGTTTGTGAGATCGAGACCCGTGTCAGGCTCTATGCTGCCAGCACAAAGCCTGCTTGGGACTTCTCTCTCCCTCTCTTTGCCCCTTTCCTGCTCATGTTCTCGCTCTCAAAAAAAAAAATAACTAAATAAACAAACTTAAAAAATAAAAATAAAAAGGGTATATCCTAAACAATTTATGCTAAACTTTGAAATTAACTTCACTTGCTATTACTACACAGATGACTGCTAAACCCTCACTTCCCCTCCCTCTACCTGATTTTTATATAAATCGGCCTGGTCACAGGAACTTAACTTTGGGAAGTTAAAGAACTTTCTTTAATCTTTAAAAACATAAAAGAAGTCCTAAGCACACTCCCAGAGTGGGCTTCCAAGAGTACCAAAGGCCTGATAAAATTTCCCCTAAAAAGACAGATTAAAATGTAAGAATAATTAAAAGCTATGAATGCTATTCAATTAGTCAACAATTATTTCTTCATAAAGTAATCTAACATACCTACGATTATATTGAGTGCAAGTGTAGAACAGGAAATTTTGGGTTTTCTTTTCGTTACTGTTATTTTACAGTTAATTATACTGCTTTATTGTGCCAAAAATATGGAACACTTCACAAATTTGTGTGCATCCTTGTGCAGGGGCCATGCTAATCTTCTCTGTATCATTCCAATTTTAGTCTATGTGCTGTGCAAGCAAGTACTGAACAGAGAGCTTTTTTAAAGCCCAATGCATAATCCTATTCCCAAAGGGTCGTATAGCAATTTGGGAAGATAAGATAAGAAACATCTGGAGAACAACTACATATTAAACTTTGAGTATGGATTCCAACTATAGGGACAGCTGGGTGGCTCAGTTGGTTGAGCGTCCAAAGACTCTTGGTTCCAGTTCAGGTCATGATCTCACAGTTTGTGGGTTCGAGTCCCCAGTCAGGCTCTGAGCTGACAGCATAGAGCCTGCTTGGGATTCTCTCTCTCCCTTGCTCCCCCACTCACACTCTGTCTCTCTCAAAATAAATAAACTTAAAACAAAAAAATGATTCCAACTATAGAGTAAGTTCAGAGAACAAATTTTTATTTCTAACTCAAGATGTCTTTGAACAGATGTATATCTCATATTAAAACCATATTTATACGGGCTTTTGGTGGAAACAGGTATTTTGGTAACCAAAAAAATCATATAATCAGACTTATATAGCATTAACTTATATCAATTCAGTCACCATTTGTAAGTGACATATACTAACAGAAAAAAATATACAATCTTTTGTGTCACATTACCTTATTTCAAACGTTCTTATAAGATTCAAAAAAAGGAAGCATTAGGTGCTGAACTGACTGGTCATACTCAATTAATAATTAATACTGATACAGAAATGCTGCTCCTCCAAGCAAACATAATTATGATAGTATGCCACAGAGAAAACAACAATATAATTCCAGAAAAGGGACCACCACCACCTTAGACTTCAAATGAGTTATCCACCCTGAGCATAAAAAAGTACAATTCCTACTAACCTGTTCTTTTTCAAATATACTTTTCCAATTCCACAGTAGGCCAAGCAATCAAGTCCCTCATTGGGATAGTGTTCAATCATCCTCTTAAACTGGTTTTCAGCTTCAGATAATTCCTTCAGTAGCAATAAAAACAATGATCACTTAACACTACAAAAGAAAGGCTAGAACAGATTTTATCTGAAGGTTGATTCTTTTTGTGTAGTATTACAAACTGTATATCCAAAAATTTCTATGGCAAAATCACGCCTTCGGCATTTTATTTTCTTAGCAAACATACAAATTTTGATCATAGGATACTCAGAGACACAACGAAAGTGATCCAGCTTCAGAATGAAACATGGGTGCGGGACACATCAGACAACCAACCAAATGAGCATTTACTAACACACACACACAGAGGGCCCAGTATGTGCTGGCTAAAACTAAAAGGTATGAGTTCATGGTATAAAGACTGACTGGATGCAAACATACCATGACCTATCTCCTAGTAAGTGCTGCTCCGCTGGCACTCCAATGATGTTACCACAATGTTTTGTGGCATAAGAAAGATAAATACTCAGTCTTAAAAATAGCAAAAGCTTTATAGAACTTAGAGTACATTCTTCTGAAAATTCCCAACAATGGAAACTTCTACGCTTTGAATTTTGTTTTCGAAAAAGTCCAAAAGACACTTAGCTCAAGGCAGTCCTGGTAACCCCATTGTGGGTGAAAAAGGAAATGTCACTACAAAATGGGAGTTCATTAAAGCTTTGAGGCCAGTTCCAAAGGAGGCATTCCAAAAACGTTTTAAGCAAGAGCTCTCCTGGAGTAAATACACTGCTTACTTCTGGGGCTACCCTGAGTGATGATATTCTTTTAAATGTCCAAGTTCTATTGTGTCTGGTTTGTTTTTTTCAATCAGTCTCATTAATTCAAAGTAAATCACAAATGTAGTGAACTATTTCTTCAATTTTGATAAAGCAAAACATGGTTAAGATATTATCACTCTGCCAAGAATAGAAGAATTGAGATCATAAAGTCCTATCTCCAACAATCTATTAGAAAAGAGAATTAGACAGGCCCTAATAGAAGATATTCATCTGTCACATCAAGAACAAGGAAAGAAGGCAGGGTGCCTGGGTGTCCGACTCTTGATTTCAGCTCACGTCATGATCTGTCTGTGAGTTCGAGCTCCATGTCAGGCTCTGAGCTGACAGTGTAGAGCCTGCTTGAAAGTCTCTCTGCCCCTCCCCCACCCTCAATCAATCTCTCTCTCTCTCAAAAATAAACATTAAAAACAAAACAAAAATAATAAGGAAACAAGCATGTAACAAGGAAAATGAACCTCAGACGCTGGACCACTGTGAGAGTGGAACATAAAAGATGACTTGATCCTTATTAGGTAGCAGGCAGGGCTTCACTCAGCCAAGGAAGCTTGGAGCCCAAGTTGATAGAAAGGATATATTATACCTGAGGTAATTCTACAGCAATTTTGAAATTTTGGCTTTTATTGAAAACTAAAAACCATGGAAAGCAAAGTACAGTTGACTCTTGAAAAATGCAGGGGTCATAAGTGTCCCATGCAATTAAAAATCCAAGTGTAACTTTTGGTTCCCCAAAAACCTAATTACTAAGTCTACTGTTGACTGGAAGCCTTGCCTATAACATAAACCACTGATCAACACGTATTTTGTATGTTATACGTATTATATACTGCATCCTTATAATAAAGTAAGCTACAGAAAAGAAAATCATGAGAAAATATATTCACAGTACTATACTATATTTTTCAAAAAAATCCACGTGTAAGTGGACCCATGCAGTTCAAAACCATGTTGTTCAAGAGTCAACTGTATAATGCTGCGTGCACTGCAGTTAAGGAAACTTTGCAGGAGAGCACTGAAGGACCATGAGTAATGAAAACCATGTGTGCTCACACCTATACACTGATTCTATGTGCTTAAGGGAAGCCTGTGTTCCAGAAGATAATAAAATACCCAAATACTTGGTAGCCAGAACTAAGAGAACTTAACACAAAGTTGAACTCTCCTTTCTTAATCTCCCCAAGGCCATTCCTTCCTTCCATCACTAAATGCAACCATTATCTCCAACTTGATGTAGGGCTAGCCAGTGTTTTTTTTTACCTTTACAAAAGGCAGAAATAGTCATAAACAATATCTACTATTGTTGCACAAGTTTTCCAAACTGTACATAAGTGGTTATCACAATGTTTGTCATGTTCTCTAACTTGTCTTTTTCACTCAACATGTTTCTTAAATCTGTAATGATACAGTAGGTGCTTTACTTTTTATACAAGTAAAAAGTAAATTTCTACTGGTCGTCTGGCATAGCTTTTTTCTAATGGGATCACAAACTAATTTTTCTTTAAAAAAAAAAACAAAAACCACAAACAGGTATTTCAGAAAAAAAATATCAAGCAAGTACACAGAAAGAAATAAACCGAAGTGGCAAAACTATTTTTCACATATCTTCTAAAATGGCATATTTTAACTGTTTATCATCTCTGTTACAAATCTTACCTCCGGCTGTCCTATCCCAAGGAGAGAAATAGCAAGTCCGTAGACTACTAAGACATAGTTAATCATGGCCAGGTTCAATTGCTGTCAAGAAAAATGCTCCAGTTAAAAATTTGAACATAATTTTGCCTAATCTGCACAAACCTGGTAGCCACAATAGAAAAAAAATGTAATAAAATCTCACTAATTGCTATGATTGGGATAAAACCAAACAGAAATAGAAAATATATTTTGCAAAGATGTGCAGTTATACTGAAATCAAGTATTTAAAACGCAGAACCATTATCTCAGAGTTCCTTGAAGGCATGGTTTGTGACAGATTAGAATAACTGAAGCCATATTGTTTTGCATATAAATGGGTACTAGTGACAGATTAAGACATTTTCTCTCCTATAATCTTGCATAAACTATTCACCTAGCTAATTCTTTCTGGATGAAAAGATGTGACTAACGTGAGTCCAAAACCTGGATTTAGTACTTTTGCAGGAGGAGAAGCCAAGCGTTCTAATGAGCACCAAGTAGAGAGTCTAAACCTGGGTCGTATAATATGTGCAACCATAATGGCTGAATCAGAGCATGACCGGCTTCTCACAACCTGGAGCAGATTCAGGCAATCTCAGGTGGGTCTAAGGCACAGTAATACAGTGACCTTAAAGGCTTCGTTCTCATCTACATTCACTTGAAATGCTCCTGCATTGATGAGCCAGTTATAAGACAGAAATTTTACCTTTATTTTTTGAGGATCTAGACCATTGAGCAACTCCGTGAAGGCCTGCGCGGCACTGCGACAGCGCTGCTCGAGCAAAGCCGTGTAACCATCCTGGATTAAGCTTCTCAGCATTTTCATTATATTAGCAAAATCCTGCAAAAGAAGAAATTCTACTTCAGTAATCCAGAGCTATATGTGTTCCGTCTGAAACTTAAGATGCCAAAGTTCATCATAGGGCATTTATATTTTACAACTGATCATAAACCCCCAAAGTTATGCTTTATGCATTATACTTTCTCTACATGGCACCTTTAAAGCAAAAATTTAAAGGTACTACTTCACCATCTTATTTTCTTTTTTTTTTTTAATTTTTTTTTCCAACATTTTTTATTTATTTTTGGGACAGAGAGAGAAAGAGCATGAACGGGGGAGGGGCAGAGAGAGAGGGAGACACAGAATCGGAAACAGGCTCTAGGCTCTGAGCCATCAGCCCAGACCCGACGCGGGGCTTGAACTCACAGACCGCGAGATCGTGACCTGGCTGAAGTCGACGCTTAACCGACTGCGCCACCCAGGCGCCCCCACCATCTCATTTTCAATACTCCTACTGCTGCTGACAGGAAAGGGTGGTTCATTTTACACTGTATGGTTCTAAGCCTTGCTCACTTCTCCAGACCAAACAGACAGCATTCAGAAGTTTTAACAGCACAAATGGAGAATACCAGCCACCAATTTAAGTAACTGTTTGGCTGGAACTAGAATTAGACAAATAAGAACAAGAAATCAATTTTCTGATCACTATCAGACTTTAACAACTGCCCTCGTGCTCCAGAATTAAACCTTAATTCTTAGCAAGAAATGGCTATTTCAATCTTTGGCTCTGCTTCTGCCTATCATGTGCTTGAACAGAATGCAATAAAATTATCAGGAGAGATTTGGTTAAATGCAAAGGGAAGAGCATAAGAATTAAAAAAACAAAAGTACCATAAATATAAATGTACCTTGAAATAAAGTGAGAAAAAATGGTACCTTTGGATATATATGTGAACATACATCATAGAAGTTGAATTCAAGTTTTAGTTACATGGCAATAGCTGTCACAAAAGTTCCATAAAAACTAGAGAGAGAAGACTACAAGGTTAAGCCTAGACTTCTTCACTCCTTGACATACACGTGCACACCACTGAGGAAAGCAGAAGATGCAAATACGTGTGCAATATTCCTCACTGTTCTTAACAGTAAAGATCCAGAAGGAGGCCCACTGCACAAAGCACAAAGGGAAGAGCAGTTTGGTCACAATTAACAAAAGCTGCCTACTGGCTTTCGTCCAAGGAGAACCTTCCCCCACAATACACACGGAACAGAGAAGCTCTCACATAAACTTCGTATTTGCTACAGTATTTAATAAAAGTTCGAGGACAGCTACATTTATGTTGATATGAATTTTATTATTTTTTTAATGTTCACTTATTTTTGAGAGAGAGAGAGAGAAAGTACAAGAGGGGGAGGGGCGAGAGAGAGGGAGACACAGAATCCGAAGCAGGCTCCAGGCTCTGAGCTGTCAGCACAGCTTGAACCCACGAATCACGAGATCATGACCTGAACCAAAGTCAGATGCTCAACCAACTGAGCCACCCAGGTGCCCCAAGATACGAGTTTTAAAAGTTATAGACGATGATGTGCTATCCCCACAAATACTAGTTATTAGCCCTGAATGTACTGATTCCATTTTAATCTCTTTCACATTCTAGAAAAGAGTCCCTTTTAACTCATGCTTCTGTTAAAAATTGTTTCTCTCAGTAAATACAATAAACGACCATGGAGTACTAAAAGCTCCATGAGAGCAGGCTGGGTTGCAATGCCATATACCCAATGTCTCTCGTTCTTCAGGACAGACAGGGAGGGGCCTAACCAAAAGTGTGTTGAATGAACAATGGAAGGCTCAAAAATAACTACCATATTTATTTAAATCACCTTTGATCTTTCACAGGCTGTCTCTTCTATTTAAGTCTTTCATAGTTTCTAGAGTCAGTAAATCAACATAAAAAACCATAATTTTAACATCTCTGTCAGAAATTCTAATTTTTTAAAATGTTTTATTTACTTTTGAAAGAGAGAGAGAAACAGATCATGAGTGTAGGAGGGACAGAGAGAAAAGGAGACACAGAATCCAAAGCAGGCTCCAGGCTGTGAGCTGTTAGCACAGAGCCCGACATGGGGCTCGAACTCATGGATGGTGAGATCATGACTTGAGCCAAAAGCTGGACACCCAACCGACTGAGCCACCCAGGCGCCCCTAACTGCCAGAAATTCTAAAGATGCTTTTATGCAACTGGTTAGAAATGTTTTCATAAACTGCTTGAAACATGCTTCATTCCTTCAGTCTTTTGTAAGATATTTGTCATATATACCTAAAATAGTTAATTGAATTTTTAAATGACCCCTATATTGGGACAAGTATTATATGCCATGTTAATACACATTTTTAAGAGTGAAATTTAAATCCAATATTCTATTTTAGAAGAAATAAAACTATGTCTACATAAAGAACTGGATGACCAGAGCAGATGCATATGAATCACATTTACCCAAAAAAGATCATCTTTCATTTAGTACTACATAATCTATAAGTGTTCAGTGACTGGAATAGTCACTGGCCAAGGTTTCATGAATTCTGGATTGCATCAAGGTTTTTATCTCTTTTTGAATCAATTTTTGTAAGTTGGGATTTTTCTAGGAATTTATCCATTTCATCTATATATGCTTTCAAATTTCTTGGTATGATGTCATTTATAATAGTATTTTGATGTATTTGTAATATTCAAGGATCTGTAGTAATGTATCCTTGTTTATTCTTGAAATTGTCTTATGATGTCTTCTTTTCTTCCTCCTCAATCGGTTTCAATACCAGTGTATAAATTTTATTTATACTGACAAAGAATCTATGGTTATCTCTGTGAATCCTTCCACTACATGTCTGTTTCCATTTCATCATTTTCTACTTCAGTCTTTATTATTTCCTTCCTTCTCCTTTCTTTGGGTTTATTTGCTGTCTTTCTTTTTTCCTAGCTCCTGGAATAACTGCTTCATTAATTTAAAAGTTTTTGTTCTTTTCATACATACGTTTAGCTTGATAAATTTCCTTCAAAGTTATCTTTTAGCTATACTCCTTGCATTTTTTTAGAAGACTTTTTCTCTTAGTTTTCAGTTTACAACAAAACTGAGGAGGTACAGAAATTTCCATTATACCCCTTGCCTCCTCAAATGTACACCCCACTATCACTCATCAGAATGGTGTATTTTACATATCTATTTTTTTATTGAAGTATAATAAGCATATGTTATACTAAATTCAGGGATACAACACAGTGATTCCACAATGCTTAACATTATGCAGTGCTCACCACAATAAGTGTAGTTACCATCTGTCACAATCCAGTTATTACAATATTATTGATTATATTCTCTATGCTATACTTTTCATCACATGGTTATTTATTTCATAACTGGGAGTTTGAACTTCTTAATCCCCTTCACATAGTTTACCCATCCTCCCACCCTCTCCCCTCTGGCAACCACCAGTTTCTTCTCCGGATTTATGGGACTGTTTCTGTTTTTGTATGTTGTATGTGTGTTTGTTCACTTGTTTTGCTTTTATTTTTATTTTTTATTTATTATTTTTTTTTTTTAACGTTTATTTGAGACAGAGAGAGACAGAGCATGAATGGGGGAGGGTCAGAGAGAGGGAGACACAGAATCCGAAACAGGCTCCAGGCTCTGAGCTGCCAGCACAGAGCCCGACGCGGGACTCGAACTCACAGACCGTGAGATCATGACCTGAGCCGAAGTCGGCCGCTCAACCGACTGAGCCACCCAGGCGCCCCTTGTTTTGCTTTTAGATTCCACACAGAAGTGAAATCACATGGTATTTAACTTTCTCTTTTTCACTTAATGAAATCTGGTCTAGGTCCATCCATGTTTTAAGAATGGCAAGATTTTATGCTTTTTTTAAGAATACTCCACTGTATGTATACCATATCTTCTTTAACTCAGAATAGTATATTTTTCACCAAACATGAACTACACTCACACATCTTAATCATCCAAAGTCTATAGTTTACCACAGGATACACTCCTCGTGTTGTACTTTCTATGGGTTTGGACAAATGTATAAGGACATAGAACTATCATTATGATATCATACAGAAAATTCTCACTGCCCTAAAAATCCTCTGTGCTCTGCCTATTCATTTTTCCCCCTTAATGTTTATTTTTTTATTATTTTTTAAATTTCTTAAAAGTGTTTATTTTTGAGAGAGAGAGACAGAGTGCGAGTGGGGGAAAGGCAGAGAGACAGAGAGGGAAACACAGAATCTGGAACAGTTTCCAGGCTCCAAGCTGTCAGCACAGAGCTCAATGCAGGGCTTGAACTCATGAACTGTGAGATCATGACCTGAGCCAAAATCGGACACTTAACCGAATGAGCCACCCAGGGGCCCCATCTTAATGTATATTTTAAAATTACTTACTAAATACCATAGAAAGAATTTTATACATAAAGTTATCTGATTATGGTTAAATCATTCAATGAATAAAAAGTTCGCTCTTTCACAGCTTTCAGGTAGGCATAATAAAACTGCAAGCACTTAAACCTTTCAAAATAATTTAAATCTTAAAATATTATCTTAAAATAAAACTTTGGAAAGCAAAGAATCCCAAATCTTTAAATCTTTGGGAACCAAACAATTTTTCAGTGTCAACCATTAGTTGACAATTTCTGGTTAAAGTAATTATCAAGTTTGGGTGCCTGAGTGGCTCAGTCAGTTAAGTATCGGACTCTTGATTTTGGCTCAGGTCATAGTCTCATAGTTCATGAGGTCGAACCCTGTGTCGGACTCTGTGCTGACAGCGCGGTGCCTGCTTGATTCTGTCCCTCCCCCTTGCTGTCTCTCCCAAAATAAATAAACATTAAAAAAATCTGCTTTAGCAAGTTAATATCTAAATTAGTGATAGTTTTGTTTCTTAGCAGTCATATAGAAATTATATGTCCGTAACTTAAATTATAAAAAATAAATCTTAGAGATGTACGTTAGACTTAATTTATACGAAAAATATTTTGTTCAAAGACTTTGCTTTTTTAAATTAGAAATAAGCCTTTTCCTTTACCTGGTGTGCAGCTCTGGAAGATTTAGAAAACTGTTTTTCCAAGATGTTTTTCAAATCTACTGGTAAACTCCCCTGTGAAGTAGAACTAAAAGAGAAAAGTGTTTTGAGTTATTTTAAAATAAAACACTCCTGCTTATAGAAAGAAAAGAGTATTTACTAAAAGTCATTTTTTAAAAACTGAAGTAAAAGTGATATACAATGTTGTATTAGTTTCAGGCATACAACATGGTGATTTAACAATTCTATACATTACACAATGCTCACCATGGTAAGTGTGCTTACCACTTGTCACCATACAACATGATTACAGCATTATTGATGATATTCCCTATCCTATCCTTCTCATCTCCATGTGAAGGTCATTTCAAACACTGAATAAATGGAAAGTCACAAATTCCTACATAAAAATATTATTACCAAGAGGGCAATTCTCCCCAAATTAATCTCTAAATACAATGACATCTCAATAAAATCCCTATAAAACTGGAGGTGGAGGGGGACCAGAAGAATTGATTATGAAGATGACACGGAAGAACTTAAAAAAAAAAAAGAAATTGGGGAGATTTATGATCATCAAAAGTTATTACAAATCTACAGTCGTCAATAACAACATAGCTTGAAACAAGAAATGTGCCCATTAAACATTGCAAAGATGCTTCATCTCATAGGAAAATCTAATAATATGACAACTGTTTCAGAAAGTATGATTTCAAATGCTGCTGAGGGTAAAGAAGATTCAGGTACTCTGGGTAGTGTTTTCTGACACTAAATAGTTGTCATTTTTCCCTACCAATTCTCCAACACGGAGTGTTCAGTAATTCAATTCCATTTTGACACAAACTCTGGAGTTAACACAGGCCCCACAGGTCAAAGGCTCAGTCCCACAAAATTGATCCCACTTCAGACACAATGCCCTTCCCCATACTGTCAGCCACAAGGAGGCGCTCAGGCTACCCTCTACTGCCTGGCAGATTACAAACTCAAGAGGTTTCTGTGACCCTCCCTCAGGTTCAACAATTCCCTAGAATGACTCACAGAACTCAGAAAAGTGCTTTACTTATCATTACTAGCTTATCACAAAGGCTGTAACTCACAATGGCCAACGGAAGAGATGCACAGGAAGGTACGCCACCCCATGCCACCTTCTCAGCATCTCCATGTATTCAGCAACCCAGAAGAAGCTCCCTGAGCCCCAGTGGTTTTAAAGGCTTCTATGAAGGTTATTATTACATAAGTATGAATGATTATATTACTAGTCATTGGTGACTGAACTCAATTTCCCGCTCTCATCCCCTTCTTGGAGATCAGGGGGTAGAGCAGAGAGTTCCAACCCTCCAATCACATTCTTGCTCTTTCTGGTGACCAACCCCAATCCTGCAGGTAGGGGCCCAGCCTTAAGTCATCTCAGTTTAAACTCAGGTAAGGTAGGGGCGCCTGGGTGGCGCAGTCAGTTAAGCGTCCGACTTCAGCCAGGTCACGATCTCGCGGTCCGTGAGTTCGAGCCCTGCGTGTCAGGCTCTGGGCTGATGGCTCGGAGCCTGGAGCCTGTTTCCGTTTCTGTGTCTCCCTCTCTCTCTGCCCCTCCCCCATTCATGCTCTGTCTCTCTCTGTCCCAAAAATAAATAAACGTTGAAAAAAAAAAATTTTTTTTTAAATAAAAAAATAAACTCAGGTAAGGTAGAGAGGAGCCCGTTAGGACTAACGAAAGATACTCTTTTCACTCCAAAAGTTCCAAGGATCGTAGGTGCTCTAAGCCAAGAACAGAGGACAGAGACTACATATATATACACATATACATATATACATACACACACACACACACACACACACACACACACACACACACACACACACACACACCCTCCCTCCCTCCCACAGCTCAGTAGGAATGCTGAACGGTACTCATTTTCTAGGACAATTTGGCAGTATCTATCTAAGTTAAAATTACACATTCCCTATGACAGAGCAATTCCACTCTAGAAATTTCTTCTTCAAATAGACATCTATACTGTGAAATATCCTGCAGCCATAAAAATGAAGGATGTAGATCTCCATGATCTGATGTGTGAAGGTATGCAAGATATTTGAAAGAGATAAAAAAGCAAGATATAGGCCAGAATGGTCTTAACAACAATGAAAATGATGGTAATAACAATATTGATAGTTAAGGTAAACTGAGCATTTACCATGTTCCAGGGCTCTAAATGTTTCATGTGGCTATCCTACTTAACCATTAAATAACCCCATGAAATGGACATAATCAAATAAGAAGACTTCAATTTGAAAACAAAAACAAACTATAAAAAAAACATTTTATCTTTAGCAGAACAGTTTAAATTATAACCATGCATTCAAAGAATATCCCTGTATGTTTTTGGTTTCTTTTGAGGGTTGGGGAAGGGGGGAGGGGAGGACTCAGGATTTTCTTACAGAATAAGAGAATAACATAGTATCTATGCCCTTGCTTTAAATTAAATTTTGTAGCAGCATTAAAAAATGATCACCTTTTTTTAATGGGGCTTTACTAATTTCTCTATTAGCTCAACAGAGATTGAGCCAATAGAAAAGATTCTCTTGCTTTGATATTCAAATCCTTCTTGAAACATCTGTCAAGGAATCAGCCTTAAATGAAGAGAAAGCCAACAGCTGGTGTACCTTTGGCAGAAATGCTTTTGCAGGGTCTCCAGCATCACTTTCACTGACTTTATGAACTTCTGTATCCATTGCAAGATTTACAAGTTCACTCACTCTGCAATGAATCTGTATCTTTGCAGGCAATGGTGGGTTAATTGTAAAGATAGGTGGCAAGAGTTCCTATTGTTAATTCGGGGAAGGGGATGTCTGGTAGAACTCACTTTATATGTAGTCACTTTATTAGTGAACACTTTCCTCTAATGACAGCTGCTCAAAAGGGCCCCTGAATATACACACACCCATGCCTGTGTATGCAGAGTAAGCTTCCAGGTGGCCAAGAACTTGTTAACAATGAGTACCTAAAGGAAGCCACGAGAGAAGCAATTGTGGGAAAGGTGAAATAAGGTGAGCAGGGAGAAGAGGTAATTTTCACTTCATACTTCTTTTTTCTTCTCATGAGCATGTATTTTGAGATTTCTAAGAATTAACACTGCTGTATCTCATATTATATGCCTTTCAGACATTACTAACATTCAGGATTAATAATATTTTAGCCAAATATGACACTCTCCTAAAGACATGCCTTTGATATTTGAAAGGCATTTTAGTACTCATCATAGCTACTACTTGAAAGAGACATACCCCCCTCCCCTTTTTCTTTTTTCTTAAGAGGAGGATATTTAAGGGGGAAAAAAAACCTAGATAAACAACATACCTGAACTTCTCCAATTCATTGTTTCGAGATTTTTGTTTTCCTTTATATTTTGGAGGCTGACCTGTGAATACAAAGTATTTGTTCCCGAAATCTGTACACAACAATCAACAAGCCTAAAAGCAAATCAACTAAAACTATGTACATTGGAATAAGAAAGCAAGGCAAGCAATGTTTTATGTGAGTGAAACTACAAACAGGTAAAGAAACAGCTATGATGTTTGTCTGTATATGCTATAAAATTATTGTGAACATAAATTACAATGATATTATTTGGGCCTACAGTAGATACAGAGAGATAAAGGCTACAGTTCTTCTTCTCAGGTAGTTTACAATCAGATGGGAAGAAAAGACAGTCACCAGGATTACACGACAATCACTTTTAGAAAAGAAGATATGGCATGTTGCTATTGACATACTAATTCCATGTTAACTGGTCTTATAACTCATAGAAGTGGAAATCACTTCAGGTTGAGTGTCCGGGAAAAGTGTTAGTGGGAATGCAGCGTTCATATTTAGCTTTAAGAAGCAAGCAGAATTTGGATAGGATGGGCCAAACTCAAGAATGACATTCACTTTAAGAGACACTAAGTAAACCTGTGTGATCTGGGGAGCTGGATAAGAAGAGGAGGTTGGAAAGGGGCTGCGAAGGCTGGCTGGAGTGAGCGATCACAGGTCCTTGGCTTCCGATACTCGAGCTGTGTGAGTCCAGACTTTGACCCACAGGCTGGAGAGTAGGAATCACTATGTACTTCGGAGCAGGGAGGCAAATGCACAAAGTTGTGTGGAAGAGAGCACGGCAATACGGACAGGGTGTACGTGATGGGAGCTTTGGGGAGAGACAGCAGAGGCAAGTCAGAACCTATGAATTAAGGAGGGGATGAGAGCCGAAGTGGTTTGAGTGGCCTCAGAAAACAAAAGAGGCTTCCAGAAAGGCAGAACAGTTCTAGTTTGATTCCTGCTGTCCAACTTAGGGCAAATCTATGTAGGCTTAACTAGGACCTCAATTTCTTTGACTGAATACAGATGCTGAAGGTGGTATTTAAATTATTTACTTAAAAATGTGCTGATAATAACAGCCTAAGAAACATCAATAAATTAAAAGGTGTTTTCCAAAAGAAAAGTTTTGTCCTCAAAGATTTTTCATGCACTATTAGAGTCACATCAGGTAAGACAATCACCTGAGTCGCCCTCTTTATCATCCTCCAATGAGCTAACCAAATGGGAATGGCTAGTGGTAAATAGCTGGGTAAAAATGGCACCAGAGTCTAAGAAAAGACAGAACTGCAGGGAAAAAAGACAGAAATGGCTGCCAGAAGCAGAAAACAAATGAACCAACAAGAAAAAGGAAAAGAGGGCAGCAGGATCACAACTACGTCACTAATCTCATCACAATAATCCTGGAAGGAGCACATGAAAGTCTGAGACAAAATCTGTATCTAACAAGCAACCTTGTGCCATCAAGAATATCTGTATTTTCCTAAGCTCTGTTTTAAAAGGCAGGGAAGCATATGATCTACGCTACAATAATTTTCAACAAAATCTAGTCACATAAAGGGAGACTGAGAAATAAGTGAAGCATCAATGTTTGCTTCTCTGGACCCATCATTTCCCAATGATGTCAAGTAAATGGAGTCCTGTTGGGTGTATGTGTATTTACTAGATGCATAAATAAACATACACATTAAGCACATGCAAGTTAAAATAATAAAATAAAATAAGCCTAAAGCATCCATTCTCAGCATCACTCCTAACAGGGTGAAAATTAGTTATTAGGAGATGAGAAAAATCTAACTTTTTATATATATAAAGCACAGATGTACATACAGGACATAAAATGATAAACAGTATCCGTGGTAGGAGGGCAAATAGGAAAAAAAAAGTTTAAAAAGCCTCCTGGGTCAGGGGTTGGTGGTGGTTAATTAAAGTTGAAAGATACTACTGGCCTAATAGGAATTAGGTAGCAGATGAAGAAGAATTTTAGCCTTCCTTTCTGTGCTTCTTATATGAATTTCCAAAATTAAATTTATTAAATATATGAAAATACTGAGCATTGACTTCAAGTAAATATTCAATGTTTTCTTAACATAGAAATATTATAAAGTAGAAAAGAACAAAAGCAAATACAAGTGAGGCTTGTACAAATGTTGGGCCATGGAAGTTTAGGAACGCTACATTAATTCAGCAACAAATAAGGAAAAAACTTACTTGATGGTGGTAGAAATTCAGGATGACAGTCACAATCATCTACCTTCAAAGCTTCATCTACCACCTAGCCATGAAAATAAAATTAGTGAGATTAAAACAAAAATACAGCCATAAAGAATTCAATAGCTAAATAATAAAATAGAACAGAATTTACCCAAGTGCCTAAAATAACCAGCTGGTTATTAGGCCTAAATGAATAAACAAACAAGATGACCATTCTATTTCCAACACCTGGCATGATGCCTAACAAGTCTGTTCAATAAGTGTACTTAATAAATACTATCATATCTTTCCTTATGCTTCTTTCCCTGAGTACAGCCTCTGAGATATTCATTATTAACAATAAAAGGACTATACAGGGAGTTGGCAAAGCTCCCTTCAATGCCTCCTAGCCACCTACTCCAAAACACTATTTTCCTTTTTTCCTCTCAAATCCTAGAAAGAAATATGAATGTGTACTTGGTGATACCTGCTGAATTTTTAATATACTACTGTTCAGAAGAAAATGGAGATATAGATGCTGATCACAGAGGCAGACTGGAAGGCCTAGAGGCGCCCTCACAAACCATCAGGCCTGGGTGCTGGTGCACACAGCAGGGAATAAAGCCTGGGGACCACTGCTGGGAAGCACCACAGAGGCTGCAAAATATTTCGGGCAGAGATGGGAATGGCAGACCTCCCAGGCCCAATGCAACACAAGCCGGTGGGCAGGCTGGTGTGGTGCCAAAGGCCAAGTAGATACAAAAGGGGAAAGGGAGGAAAAGAAAAATCCAAAGCACTGTACGCAGTGGGGTGACATGGCCACCAGACCCCATTGTCACTCATTCCTAAGTGGCTGTTTGATTGAGAGACATGTAAAGCAGGAAAAGCAGGAAAAGCATACAAAAAGAACTTATCCAGGAGGAAAAATGAAATTTAGAAAAAAAGATTTTTGAAAACACACAAATGTGATTTCAAAAGAAACTGTGACTATCATCTCCATGTAGTTGAAGGAGGTAGTTGGAATATTTACTAAAAAAAGAAAATGAAAAAAAAAAAAGAAAAGAAAATCATTCTCTTGGTATCAATAGGCAAAAAGGGATTTGTATCACCAAAATATTTAGCTTCCATTATCACCAAAATATTGTAAAAACATGAGACTTTCTAAACTTGAAATAATTTTAATTTTAGTTTTTAACTAAACCTACCTTTAGATTCTGATTACCACCGTTTGCCATTTCGTGGTTAGTTTTTCTGGAATCTTTTTCAGTTTCCACGAAGTTAAGTGAAGTACTAAATGCAGGTGCTGATAAACTAGGTATGTAGGCCCTGAAATGGGGAATACAAGAAATACTAAATTTTTTTATACTGATTAGTATGCATTTTTTAAAATAATTTTTAAAAATATTTATTTATTTTGGGGAGAGCACAAGAGGGGGAGGGGCAGAGAAGGAGACAGAGGATGGGAAACCGGCTCTGTGCTGACAGGTTGACAACAGTGAAGTGAGCCCAATGTGGGGCTCAAACTCACAAACCGCAAGATCATGACCTGAGCCATAGTCGGATGCTTAACCAACTGAGCCACCCAGGTGCCCCTGATTAGCATGAATTTTAAAAAAGTTATCCTTCAAAGAAACAAGTTTTAGCAACTATCACCTTTTTTCCCTTGAAAGCCCGGTAATACTGTTTTAGAAAGAATCTACCTCTGAGATTGGGCTTTATACATAAATGTTATTTTCAATTTGGTAGTGAAAACTCAAAACAGATTAAGAACAGTTTAATAATATATTCTGGTTTCTAATATTCAAGTAAGTCTCCCTGTTTTAAATTTAACAGCTTCGATATCTTAGATATCTAAAGCATGGAGGAAAAGGCATAATCTCTTTTAATTGCCCAGTAACAAACGTAGGACCCAGGCTGCTATTTGTTTGTGAGCATATTAAAATCTGCCTGTTGCTTATTTCTAACAGAAAGTGTCTTAGCCTTTGAAAAGATACTGGGAGGCTGGAGACAGATGTTTCCAGGATAGCAGCTAAGACTTAAAGGTACAGACTGTCCCTACTCTCTGCTGCCAGGATCGTCACTACAAAAACTGTTCCCATGCGAGTAGAGTGAAATGAAAGTAATATTACACAGCTCTTTTCCCCTAGGCTTAGGCTACAGATCTCCCATAAATACATATGAAAATGGTTCAGTAAAACAGTCCACAAAACAAATGTGACAATTCATGGGTCACCTGATCTTAAGGCACAAACCCGGGTCCTTCCCCTCCCCAACTTTACCGTGGTTGCCATTAGCTACAAAGCATCATACATAGTGATTCTTAAACTTACAAGGCAAAGCCATCCCAAGTAACAGCTACAGACCTGAGAGATGTTAACTCACCTGCTTTCATAAAAAGCTTTAATTGTATTCCTAGCTGGTGTTCGACCTATAAAAATCAATCACACACACGCATAGTAATCAGAGGATTAGCAACACATACTTTAAAGAGATTTAAAATTTCCTTTAAGCTGACAGAGCATCAAATTTACAGAACTGGAAAAATAAACCTGAATAATTTTGTATTTCCAGATGTTTTTAGTTTTAGGATGGCTTCACCAAATTGTTATACAGCCTGATTTGACATCCCATTACATGTGATCATTGACTAGCTGCAGCAGTATATAAATCTGAACCAGAGATGGTATCTGTCTTCAAGGAGCTCACAATCTTACAATCACATTAAGTTGGATGATAACATCTCAGCTCAGCTTCCTAAGACAGTAAATACCCAAAGAAGAAAAAACAGCAAAGACCTATATGGTGAGAGTATAGAGTAAGGAAATTTCGGGCATTGGAGAAAGCAAAATCACTTAGGAGAGAAAACGAGAGAATGAAAATCTTGAATTCCTAGCCCACACAGCCGATTTCTGGTATGTGTACATATCCATATACAGATGTATATATGCATATGTGGTCAGCATGCTATAGAATGAGCCACACACTTGGTGTGAATATCAAACAACTCTACTGAAGGGTTCTTTCTTTAGGAAGTAACTATAACCATGGAAGAAAAATTTTTAAACAATTTTATTTCAAAAGGCTTCACTTTATTCAAAATCTACAGAAGAACAAATTATAATTTGTTGTTGTCTGTTTCAACTAAAAGATACAAATCATTTGTAATTACCTAATGGAATATAACACTAATGTACTTCTACACAGATAGAAATGGAAAACTTAAGTGACTTGACCAAGAAAGCAAAACAAAGTAAGTACAAATCACCTGAGAATTGATTTATGGTCCTCCATTAATCCAAGAAACCCACCTTCAAAAGTTTTAAAGGGAATTCGACTGTAACCAAAGAATCTTAGGTGAAATACCTTGCAGGTCTTCTATTTGTTTTTGTAACTTTACATGCTGCTGAATTAGATCCTTGATTCCCTCAGGGTCATTTTTACAGAGTTTTTGAGCTTTTATGTTTGCTTGCAGGGCCCAGTCATATTCCCCCAGCATAGAAAGAGCAGCACAATAACGATAATGACCCTGTTCCAAAAGATAAATTTAATTTTTTCTCAAAAATATGCTTAAGTTAAAGAAAATAGATAAGGAAAAATATTTTGCTTAAAAACTAATTACTTAAAATGTTAGATTAGGACCCTATCAATGAAAATTTTTTTAAAATGTTAATACCTCTCAGGAAATAAAATTACTTAAATGAGCTAAAATGAAAAGTAATGAGTAGTATTTATAATAATTTTAACTAGAGATCAGTATTTTTGCTTAAGAGATTTTTATGCCCACAAAGAAAATAATTCAACCTTTATTATATTTTACTAGTAAAGAATGCAATATATTATTTTGTGCCAAATAAAGTACAAAAAAACATTCATTATATAGGAGTAACTTAATTTTTTTGAAAATATTTTAAGGCAGTAATAGTCTCTAAGTCATTACACTCTCTACACTTTGGAAATCACACAGATTTTAGAGCTGGAAGGAAAATCAGCTTATACAGAAGTTTTGCAACCCCTCTGAGAGCATGGCTACAGATAAGGGGTACACCTAGGCTAGACCTTCCATCCACCTCTCTCAATCAGCTTTTCATTTTTTATCTCTAGGTGTAGTTCTTGGCTTGAAGAAAAGGTCCAAAAACCATAGATCTACTCAATTCCAATGATCGGGGCTTCCTGTTTTGTTTTGTTTGCTATAGAACCACAGTCCTGGCTGGCCCCATTTATGCACTCTGGGAAATCTTCTATATCAAGGATGAACATTTTAATCTAGAAAGCTAGTATTACCAAACTTGGGGCTAACTCAACCACCCCCTCTTCTACCTACTCACAAACTGAGCTCCTGTTGTAGGTACAGTATCTCCACTTGGGAACTGACGTACCTGTGAAAGAGGCTAGAAACTGCCCTAATGGCACATTTGTGTAGAGGCAAACCAAAGAATCCTGACCTATTGACTCTGGGCCCACAGCTCTTTCCTCCTTACTCCACATTTTACAAAGAACATTCTCATTCTATAAGAAACTACTAAATCAGAGATAAATGACCCTTTTAAGAAAGATGAACTTTTCACTAAAACAGGCTGTAAACAACCATGAGGACCTTTGTTTATGCAGGTTCGGTGCATATATATAATCCTACTCTGGTGCACCAACCCAATCTGTGAGTTCTGAAGCATTTTTATAGCCAGACTATTTAGGCTCAGATTAAAGATCCCAATTCTGATTCCATTTGCTTAAACTCTGCTTTTCCTCAAAAGGCATATGAAGATAGATCTCTCAGATATGCTACAAAACCAAAATCCTATCCCCTAGGAATATTCCAACTTTGAAATTTAAGTAACTGCATAAAAATTCATAGCATTAGAAATTATGAGATTATAAACCATACCTGTTAAATTTGTAGAAAGTGCCTTTTCTTTCTCTTATCCGCACCACACCTCCCCCCCCCCCCCCCCCCCCCCCCCCCCGGCAACTGTCCTCATCTGCTGCTGGGTCCTCTTCCCAAACTCTATAAAACCTACTATAATGTCTATCATTTGAGAAAGGAGCTTATTCAGGTATCACTGCTGAAGTTATGTGAAGGAAGCTTAAATTAAAGGTATCTCAGAGCTTCCTGAACCCAATTGCAGTACAAAGCTTTGCTTTTCTTTGACACTACCTCATTGTGTAGCACATATATAGAAACTCCCTGTTGCCCATCTGCCGAGCAGCCCCTCTTTTCGGATGCCACCACGTCCCTACTCTGTATTGTAATGGCAGGGCTGGGACTAGCGCTCCATCTCAAGAATAAACAGGGAAGAGTGCAGCTGTGATCCAGGAGCCTGGCCAATCGAAATGCACCGTTTTCCAGGTTGTAGGATCAATCTGCTGGTGGGCACACCGCTCAATCGGGATCAGTCTGAGGCATCCCTCAGGTGTTCTATACAGATACTAAAAGAGGTTCTCTTTGCACTAGAATTAACAGCTATTAAGGATATCAGTTTGGGGCTCCCACTACATGGTAAAAGTCCTTTTCAAAATGAAGCCAGGAGAGCCTACGCTCTAATTACCACTTCTGCTCAAGCTGCAGTAACAGAGATTTGGATTTATGCTCTTGCCTAAAACAAACAAGGACAAAATATATGGAATAAAGGTTTGCAGACGTTGAATACCAAGCAACAAAAGAGAGTGATCCTCGAGACATAAGAAACACACAAAATAAACCCTATGACTGCTCCACCTTGCTGAATGGAATTTCTATGCCATGACACAGGGCAAAGGAACCCAGACAGGGCCCGCAGTCTCAGTTCAAGAGACAGAACCAGCAGTCCAGGAAAGCCAAGGCAGTGCAAATTCACAGGGCAGAAGACCAGAGAGGAGACTGCTCCACAGAGAACTCCAGAGATCCTCACACAGTCCACCTGCATTGAGACTTCAACTGAGTACTAGTCAGTATGTGCATGCAAGGCAACCTCCCAAAATCCAAATCAAGGAAAGAACCACTTGAAAGCCAACAGTCAGCACTCTCACAGGGCCAGGAATAATTCCTGTTTCCACCAACCAAAGTGGAAAACATCATAATTCATAGAATAACAGGTAGAGTACTCAGAAGAATTTTGCCCCAGCTGTGAAGAAAAAGATAGCCCTTGACTAAATACCACTATGGTCCCACCTAACAAAGCTTAAATCAAGACTCGGAAGAATTACACTGTTTCCAAGTAACTTTACTGTATCCTAAAACAAAGCTCAAAAATATTTGCAGATACACAAAAATATCAGTAACAAACAAGGTAAAATTCACAATGTCTTATGCCCAATAAAAAATTACTAGGTATGCAAATAAGGAAAATGTGATCTACAAGGAAGAGAAAAAAAAGTCAACTGAAAATAACTCAGAAATGACACAGATGATAGTGTTAGTAGTTAAGAACATTAGAACAGTTATTATAAACATATTCTATATGCTTAAGGAGCTAAAAGAAAGACTGAACATATTAAGATGTGAAATATGTAAGAAATACTCAAAATGAAACTCCAAAGTTAAAGCATTTAAGATGAAAAATACATGGGATGAAAACTGGGGCAGATTAGACACTACAGACACTACTACCCAAAAAGAAACACAGAATGAAAACAGAGGAAAAAAAGACTGAAAATGAAAAAAACACACGAAAGCAAAACTGAGAACAGGAAGAAAATGGATGCAGACCTGGATCAGGCCATGCCTGAAGCTGATCCCTAGACTTTTCAACTACATGAACCAATTACTTAGGCCCAATCGGAGTTAGGTTTGGTCACTCACAAAATACACCCCCTCAATATTAAAAGGTTCTTGTGGGCATCTGTGAGGCTACTGGTTTGTATGCTATATGACAATATCAAAAGACAATGCACGGGGATTACTGACAAATGTCTGTTGACTATAAACATTCCCACTCTTTGTGATACAATGATATACCCTCTCTTAAGCTTGAAAGCATGTGTAGGACAGTTGACATTGTACCAGTCTTCTCTATCTGGAAAGAAGGGGGAACAATGGCTCACCTTCACAGAATCTAAAGAATACCTTCTATACAGGTTTATACCCTCGAGGCATGACTCAACAGACTCAGGCTCATAGTTAATCTAAAGTAGAAGTACAGAATGCACGTTGTACAGTCTACCTTTGCTTTTGCAGTTTAGGCTACCCTTCAATGAGCACTCCTTTCTGGTAAAATAAAAGAAAAAATGACCTAGCTATACTTACCAAATTTTTTTAATACTTACTAGGATTTGTGTTTAGCATCTATATAAATATTTTTGCAATCATCACAAAATAACCCTATTTAAGTAAAATGAATGAACCCACATAATTATAGTCAACTGATCTTTGACGAAGCAACAAAGGCAATACAATGAAGAGAGCCTTTTCAACAAATGATGGTGGGACATCCACATGCAAAAAAAAAAAAAAAAAAAAAAAAAAAAAAAAAAAAAAAAAAAAAAAAAAAAAAGAATCTAGACCTTACACTCTCCACAAAAATTAACTAAAAATGAATCACACACCTAAATGTAAAATGCAAAAAACGGTGATAACTTTTTCATGGATCATGAAAGAAATAACTGATAAGCTGGACTTAATTAAAATGAAAAACTTCTGCTCTCTGAAAACTGCTGTCAAGAAAATGAGAGGCCACAGTCCAGGAGCAAATATTTAGCAAAGACACATCTGATAAGGGCCAAGAATATACAAAGAACTCTTAAAAATTCAACCATAAGAAAACCCACTTAAACATGGGCCAAAGATCTTAACAGACACCTCATCCAGGAAGGTATACAGTGGCAAATAAGCACATGAAGGATCATGTCATTAGGGAAATGCAAATTGGAACAAGATTCCACTGCACACCTATTAGGAAGGCCAAAATTCAGGACACTGACAGCACCAAATGCTGAGGATACGGAGAGGCAGGAACTCTCATTTGTGGCGTAGGAATGCAAAAAGTTACAGCCACTTTGAAAAACAGTTTGGCATTTCCTTAAAAAACTAAACACATTCTTGTCATGTGATCCAGCAATCATACTCCTTGGTATTTACCCAAAGGAGCTGAAAACGTGTCCACAAAAAAACCTGCGCATAGATATTTACAGCAGCTTTATTCCTAATGGCCAAAACTTGAAAGCAACAAAAATGTCCTTCAGTAGGTGAACGGATAAATAAACTGGTGCATCCAGGCAGGTAGTATTATTCAGCACTAAAAAAAAGCATCATCAAGCCATGAAAAGACATGGCAGAAACTTAAAGGAGTATCATTAAGTGCAAGAAGCCAATATGAGAAAAGCTACATACTGTATGATCCCAACTCTGTGTTCTGGAAAAGGTAAATCTATGGAGACAGTAAAAGGATCAGCGGTCGCCAGGGACGGGGTCAGGGAAAGGAGGATGGACAGGCAGATCGGGAGGATACTGGGGAGAGTGAAAATACTCTGTATAAACCATAATGACGGATAAATGTCATTATACCTATGTCCAAATCCACAGAATGCCTAACATTTAGGGAATGAACACTAAGAGAAACTAGGGACTTGGGGTGATTATAATGTACCCGTGTAGATTTATCAATTCTCAAGTTGCACCAGTCAGCCGGAGGATGCCGATAACGGGGGAGGCTGACAATGGGGAAGGCTATGCATGTGTGTGGACTTATAGGAAATTACCTTCCTCTTTATTTTGCTGTGAACCCAAATCTGCTCTAAAAAAATAGTCTTAATAAATAGAAAAAAAATTAAAAAATAAAGTCTTTTTTTAAAAAGTATTTTCTGCTCAATAAATTAATCCACTCTACAATAAACACTCTACAATGTAACTGTTATAATGTAACAGTCTTCAATGTAATTCAGAAAGTTGTAGTACTCTTTTTTCAATCGATACTAGACTGAAATAGCAAAAGGTGACTCCAGAAAACCAACTTCAGGGTCTGGGTTTCAGTGTTAAGAATTCTATCATCCATACATTCTGTAAGTGTTTACAGAGCACATGCCAAATGCAGGTTCAGTGATCAACAAATTTCTGTATCAAGTACAACAATGACTGGAAATAAAAATAGCAACAAACTGATCACTCTAAAACAGAAGCAAATCCAATGCTGGATTCTCAATCCAGTTTTGTCTTTACGTGCAAAAGTCCCTTTACCTTCCTGGAATTCAATATCTTCATCTGTAAAATGAGGCATTTAAAAACAGACTCCAAAATTTGGATGCAGAAGTCCACCTGGGGAATTTCACAGTCCCCAGACTCTGATACACTCCCTGGCCACATGAATCACAACTTGGGGGCCTCTAAAATTCTATGATTATATTCACTCTGGTTTAAAAACAAAAAGCCAAGAATGAAGTCTGAAACACATGTCTTTCTGTGTCTTTTTTTTTATTTATTTATTTATTTTTTTAACGTTTATTTTTGGGACAGAGAGAGACAGAGCATGAACGGGGGGAGGGGCAGAAAGAGGGGGAGACACAGAATCGGAAACAGGCTCCAGGCTCTGAGCCATCAGCCCAGAGCCTGACGAGGGGCTCGAACTCACGGACCACGAGATCGTGACCTGGCTGAAGTCGGACGCTTAACCGACTGCGCCACCCAGGCGCCCCTATCTTTCTGTGTCTTATCTGAAGCTCCACTTAAAAAAAAAAAGTCAGGGGGCACCTGGGTGGCTCAGTTGGTTGAGCGGCTGACTTCGGCTTAGGTCATCATCCCACGGCTTTTGAGTTCGAGCCCCACATGGGGCTCTGTGCTGACAGCTCGGAGCCTGGAGCCTGGAGCCTGCTTTGGACTCTGTGTCTCCTTGCTCTCTGCTCCTCCCCTGCTCATGCTCCCTCCCTCTCTCTCTCTCTCTCTCTCTCTCTCTCTCAAAAATAAACATTCAAAAAAAAATTTTTTTAAAAGTCAGGTATTTTTATGATTTAGGAAAATACAGTGATCAATATAACACCCAGAAATAAATGCTAAGATTTTGTTGTATTTGTTTTGCATTTTTTTTTAAATGAAAGAAATAAAACCATACAGATATGGCTGAAATCTTCTTTGGACCCTCTCTCATTGTTCCCTCTCTAACTGCCCAGAAGCAAACATTATCATGAGTTTGATAGATATCTTTCTGGCCTACATTATGCTTTTACTGCTTTTTTTCATTCAACACTGTTTTTTAATTTTTTATGTTTTGAGACAGAGAGAGCAAGGGCAAGAGGGGGAAGGGGGGAGGGGACCGGGGCGGGGGGGGGGGGGGGGGGGAGAGAGAGAGAGAGAGAGAGAGAGAGAATGAGAATCTCAAGCAGGCTCCATGCCCAGCGCAAAGCCTAATGTGGGGCTCGATCTCACAACCATGAGACCATGACCTGAGCCAAAATCAAGCGTCAGATGCTTAACCCACTGAGTCACACAGGCACCCCTCAACACTGTTTTTTAAATCTATAAATGTCGGTAAGCCAGTTAACTTATTCTAACTGCAAACTAGTATTTGGTTCGTTCATTCACTAAGTCAACAAATATTTACTATTTACTAGTAAGTGCTTACTATGTGCCAGGCAGCTTGTCAGGCAGTCTAGATTCAAGAGTGAACCAAACAAACAAAAAAACCTGTCCTCATTGAGCTCACGTTGTATAGGAGGACACACAGTAAGCACAGTTGAAATAACACACAGAGTTGTCCAATAATGATAAATGCCAAGAAGAAAAAAAGTAAAGCAGGGAAAGAGGGCAGCAAATGTCTAGGCAGGGGCAGGCTTGCCATTTTAGTAGTACAGCCAGAAGTTTTCACTTCCAGAAGTGTAAATTGTCCAGAAGACAATTTTCAGTAAAAAATGAAAGGAAATAAGAGAGCTAACTCTGGGGAAAGGCATTCTAATTCTAGGCAGAGGGAAGAACAAGTACAAACTGGGAGTGCCTGGCATATGTAAGGAACAGCGAGGAGACCAACAGGTCAACACAGTGAACAAGGGAGAGAGGGGTAGGAGTGACATAATGGGTGTTTAAGAAGAGGGCCAGATCAGATGAGAGTTACAACTCTGATCAAGTGAAAATACCACATCCATCACTGCTTCATCAATGGATATGTAGGTATCTGCAGTTCTGTGCCATTAAAAACACCACCACAATGACCACTCTGTATATCTCCCCATGCGCACATATTGCAAGAATGTTTGTGGGGCACACACACTTAGAATCAAATAATTACAACAGCATAAGCATATGATCGTGCTCTCCAAGTTGGCTGCAACCAATTCTCACCCACCAGTTTACAGAGGGTTCCTGTTAGTACACACATGCACCAGCACTTGGGACTGTGGGTCTCTTTAATTTGCCAATCTAAAGTACCTAATAATACCACATTGTTTTACTTACTCATGTATATGAAGGTCTGTTTGGAAGCTCTCTACTCTGCTCTCTTGGTTTCATTTTTCTAACTGTACAATTTTAATTTCTAGGAAACAAAACATAACTTATTTCTATTGCCCATTCAGGATTTCTCTTCTGCAAAGTGCCTATCTATTTCGCTGGCCCATTTTCTACTGGGTTTCTTATTTATTATAGTTCTTTGCATATTCTGGACATAAATCCTATCAGTTACATATGTTATCTATATGACAAATTATCTTCTCCCAGACTGTGATTTCATTCATGGTGTCTTTTGACATACGGTAGTTTTTAAGTTTGATATATTCAAATTTACTAGATTTCCCCCACCCCAGATTTGTGCATTGTGTATTATTTAAGAAATCCTTTCTCACCTCAAGGTTGTAAAGACAGTCTCCTATAATTCATTCTAGGTTTTAAGTTTCATTTTTCATAGGAAGGTCTTTGACCAATCCAGAAAATGCAGATACTGACATCTCAATCACTCAAGTACCCTCCAGACCCTCAACACTCCTATGGGCTACCTGTCCTCCTCAGACATGCAGGACCTCACTGTTTTGTGAAGTATCTTTTCTGATCATGGAACTGAAGATTTCCCTCTCACATTCTTGAGCTCTGCATTAATTTTATCCAGCATCTTTACATATAAATTCACATCCTGTACACAGATTTCTCACAAAATTATATGGCATTACTTGCTGAATGTAAATATAAAAGAAATCTACCTTTGTCCAATTGCTCTTTAGAATAATGGCTCTCTTTCCATCACCAAGTGCATTTCTGAAAAGAAAAATAAATATTCATTTTTATGTATTTAATAAAGGCATTATATATTGTGTATCTATTTGTACTTCTTGACTTTTCCAAAAATAACCTAGTTTAAAATAATTTTTTAACTTTTAAAAATCCATATATGTCCATTATAGGAAATTTGGAAAATACAGAAAAGCAAAACAAAAGGAAAAAGTCACCCAGAGTCACAATCACAACTACCCAGGAATAACTACTTTTCTTATTTCTGGAGTTATTTCCTGCACATATCTTATCTACATCTATGCCAAACTTGTTATTATTTGCATGGTTTTTCTGCACTATTTTTGCGTGTCAGCCAGACTTCTGATCTCCAAAAATATAATTCCCAGATCTTTCACACATCAGCTAAGCTGCAGCGGACAGAGCCTGAAAACTGAAACACAGATGGAAGTTAAATTCAGTACAATCGCTAACTCAATTTGGGATTATTTAGGAAGTTCTTAACCTCTCTGGCCCGCTTTCTCACATGTAAAACGAGGGTGATAATTATAATTATTGTAAGCCAATCACAGCAATCTCACTCTCCTTTGCACTGACTAGTTTTGAGGTAGTCCTATAACCCAGAGCTGGCCAATGAGAGCTCAGAGGGCTCATCACTCAAAAAGAGATTACAAGGAAGAATAAAGCTAGGTAACTTACATTGCCAGATAGCACTAGCTTCTACCAGACTATATACAGTTTAAAAAAAAAAAAAAGTCTATCTAAAGACCAACAGATTAGTACAAACAAATCAGAAACAGATGCTGACATATAGTCACCTGATCTACTTGACAAAGATGAGCACTGCTGTGCATGGAGAAAACATACGTTCTTAAGAAACAGTGATGAGTCAACTAGACATCCATGTTCATCCTGAACCCTACCTCACACTAAATACAAAAACCAACTCCAGGTAGACTATACGTCCAAGTGCCAAAGTTAAAAAATCAAGCTTTTGAAAGAAACAGAACATTCTGGTGATGTTAGAGAAAGCAAAGGTTATAAACAGAACCCAAAAAGTGCTTATCATAAAGGAAAAAACTGATACATGGCACTATATTGAAGTTAGTGTCATCTGTTTGTGAAAACAAAACATCAAAAGTGAAAAGGCAAGCCACGGAATGTGAGAAGCTATTTGTAACACATATATTTGACCAATGACTCATATCCAAAATAAATTTTTTTAAAACCTAATGAATAAGACATTCAACTCAAAAGAAAAGAAAATATCCAAACAGGCACTTCACAAAAGAGAATATCCAAATGGTCGATAAGCGTATGAAAAGATGCTCAACTTAAATATCCTTGATCAACTTAAGGAAATGCAAATTAAAATCACAGCAATGTGTCATTACATACCCATCAGAATGTCTAAATGAAATGACACAAAATAGTAAGTGTCGGTGAGGACGTGGAACTGAAACTCTCATATACTGCTGGCAGGAGTATAAAATGATACAACCAGACAGGAAATTATGTAGGAAAGCTGCATATAAGCATACTTTCATCCCAGCAACTCCACTCCTTAATTATATTCTCAACAGGAATGAATACGTATGTTCACAATGATACTATCTGTAAAAGCCAAATACTAGAAACTACCCAAATGCCCATCAACATTAGAATGGATAAAATGTGGTATATTCATGCAATAGATGAACACTTTACAACTACATGCAACAATATGGATCTCAAAAACAATGCTGAATGCCAAACATAAAAGAGCACATACCATATGACTATTTACATTGCACAAAAACAGGCAAAACTAACCCGTAGCGCTGGAAGCTGGGATAGTAGTTATCCTGGGGGAGGAGGTGGGCAGACTGGGAAGAGGAAAAAAGCAGACTTCTGGGGCTGTGATCTGGGTGCCGATCTTACACATGTAAGGTGCCGGGGCCTTACACATGTAAGGTTTCTGAAAATTCAGCCTATATACTTATGAATCATATGCTTCGCAGTATGTGTATTTTTCTTTTTTCTGAAGATTGCATGAGCCATTCTTTTGCTGGAGACTAGAATGTCCAGTTTAACATCTGAAATACAGTAGCCAGACTGAGGTCCAAGTCACACAGTGGGGCTAGAAAAATCCTAGGTCTTTGAGGACATTGTTGAGCAACTAAATACACAACCCTAGAGCCACGTTCTTCTGGATTTTTTGAATGAGGTTAAGTTTTCTTCACCATGTAAACAGGGTTTTCTACTATTTGCAACCAAACACATCATGACAGAATGGCATATCTCGTCTCATTACTTCTCTCCCTAGATACTTTTAACAGCTGCCTATACTGTTACATTTCCTCTTCTCTCAACCCACTCCAATCCAGCATCCATTCCAAGCTTCCCACAGACAGATCTCCCTATGGGAACTAGAAGATGTTCATATTGCTCAATCTAAGTTCCATTTGGCTTTTCAGCAACAGGCACTACTGGCCACTCTCTCCCTCTTGCTTTCATGACATCACGCTTCCAGTTTTCCTCTTACCTCTCTGGCTACCTCTTAACAGTCTCCATGCAGGTTCATCTTCCCTTAACTGGCCACTATTTGTGCCCCTCAAGGCTCAGTCCTAGTTCTCAGCTCATCCTCACTCTAGACCAGTGGGTCTCAGCCTTGGTTACACATGAGTACTATTTGGGGGGCTGCTAGAAGCCCAATTAATCAAAAATCTCTGGGTTGGGGGTATTTCTTCCAAGCTCAATTCCAGGGTGCAATAAAAGTTGGGAACCGTCTCCCCAAGCAACCTCACCCACATCTACAACTTCAAATCATCTAGGTTAACTATCCCAGTATTTGTCTCCTGCCCAAACCTCTCCCTGGAGTGGCGGACCTACCTAACTCATTGCCAATGTGACATTCCGACTGGAATCCTTCAAGGACACTTTAAATCAGGATGTCCAAGAGTGAAGTCAAGTTCTATTTCCTACAAATGTATCTCTTCTAGTGAGCTCAGTATTACAGAGTAAGCCTATAATCTATGAAGTGGCTGAAGGCAGAAACTTCATAATAGTTCCAAACACCAAACCATAAGCAACCTCTGTCCCTTCTACTTTCAAAGTATGTCAAATCCTTCCGCTTCTCCATTTCCACTACCATTACCCTGCTCCAAGCTACCATCATCTCTGGCCTAGAGTACTGCAATAGCCTCCTAACCCACATTCTTTCTGCATCCCCTCCAAACCCATTCTCCTCACTACAACTAGACTGATCTTTTTAAGGTATTAATCGTGCCATCTCCCCTCAATTTAAAATCTTTTACTCACTTCTTGATGTTCTTAAAGGCCAACAGTCTTAATGAAGCCTACAAGACCCTCCCTGGTCTCGCCCCTGACCACCACTCCCCTCCTCCTCTGTATTCAGGCCACCCAGCACACTACTAATTCCATGAATACAACATCCTCCCTCCCACCATTGGCCCACCGTCTAGAATACAGTGGGAACTATGTCCGTTTTTGCCCATTTCTGACAGAGCTAAAAGCAGAACTCCCATCATACTGGCTGAATCAATGTTGAATGTTATTGTTATTATAATTAATATAATATACAATACTACAACTATAGTATTATATTACAATCACGTTGTAAATACTATATTCATTAGTGCCTGTGTATATAAATATATAAGAACACTAACATATTTTCACATTTACTAGCACATGACCACATCCTCCTACTAAAACCAACTGGGCATAGTAAATTACATGGGGTTACTGCTCATCCAACCTAGTAGAGCCTGAAACCTAAACACTCTGGAGAGCAGGTATGCCTTTAGGAACAGCAATACCCTGAACAATACATCTCTGAAAACAGGAAACAAGAAATGCAAATGGCTACTTACTCTTAAAGACTGTGTGACATAATGGTGAGAGTACTGAACAGAAGGTAAGAGAGAGTTCTAGCCTAGATGATCCAACTGAATACCTGTTACATGGCAAAGTGTTCTCTCTCCAGCCCCTTCACCTATTTCTTCATATACGACATGCTACACTTTGCCTTAAAATGTTAGGAATGAATACGTATTGTCCCCTCCTCTAGCTTCCATGTGGATTTGCTAGATGAACCATTTCTCAGCTATCTCCTTCCCCACCCCTAACTTTTCCCTGGAGGATGAATAATAACTACCTAGTGGAGGGGGAGGGGCACAAATCATAGTGGCGTAGCCTCTTCTTTTTCTCTTTGGAATCTTCTACTGAACACCATCATAACACCAGATTCCCTTTTCCTCCAAGCTTAAAGTTTATAAAAGTCGCTGTAGCCAGTTCTGTCTGTGATCATGGATGAATAAGTCACTTAGCTATGAGACTATCCTGATAAAGCTCTGTTCTCTAAAAACTGGATCAGCATTAGAGGTAAGACTGGATCATCATTTGCCTGTCTTCTGTTTCCATCTCTTAACTGATTCTGGACTTGGGAGGGACAGGGGATGCTATTTATTGACTCTCTCAAATCACAATATATGTAAGAACTTTGCGAGACATAAAAGGATTATCACTTTTTTCATTCCCTATTATAAGTCATCACTATCAGGGACTGACCAGACCAACAAAGAAATAGTAATACCCCTCCTCAAGTTCACAGATCTTACAATGAAGCGACAAAAGCAGGATTCAGATGTAATGGTCATTCACTGCCAAATAAGCAGTGACTGATAACCATCAACTGAATAAACACATACACTATATATCAAAAGTTGTCATCTGGAATTAAAATTATATAAACTCTTTCATCCAAGTAAAAGCAATCAGCAATTTCTCTACAGATATACTTGTACCTGAGTGCAGAATATAAGTAAAAGGATAATCATTACAGAGCTGTAATTTTTTTTAACTAGAAATAATTTATATTCTAATACAAACTAACCAAAGCATGAGTAATCCATTTCGTAAAAGGCTACGGAGCCATGAACATATACAAGGGTATATCTCTATATACACTGATATGCAACAAGCTCCAAGATTTAAGTATTAGGTGGAAAAAAGTGCAACAGTGT